TCTGAGGATACTGCTGGGTCCAGGTGGTCTTGGTTCCTGAGGTGCCTGGGCTTACCTATCCCCGGGTGTGACCTGCGTGGAGCTAGCCCCTCTAGTAGACAGACTGGCATCTAATTGTGGGCACAGGAGGGGCTAGCGGAAGTGCTGTGCAGGGAGGGGAACTGGAGACTTGTCTCAGTGCTTTATTTAGGTGGTGAGCAGCTGTTCTTTTTGGGGGTGGTTGGAGATGTTGATGGAGATTGTAGGAGATTAAAGCTCCTCTTCCCCAACTCCTTACACAGTTTAGCACCTGGAATGAGTCCAAGCCTGTGTCAGGGAAGGAGGCGTCCTAGCACCAGCTCTCTTTGACTGCTGGAGATGGGGCGCCCTGCCCTGCCTCTCTGTAGGTACTTAAACTCCTTAATATCTACTGATCTGAAAAAGGCAATCTGGGGCCTCCAAACGACTGGAGGTCCATTATCTCCCCAGATGCGAGTCCTGCCCTCCTGCCTTCTTACGCTCCCGCTGAGATCAGCCCCCATTTATGATTTTTCTTTTTAAAAAATATTTTTATTGATTTCAGAGAATAAGGGAGAGGAAGAGAGAGAGAGAGAAACATCAATGCGGAGGGAGAATCATCAATTGGCTGCATGCCCCCCAATGGTGATTGAGCCCACAACTCGGGCATGTACCTTGACTGGAATCGAACTGTGATCTCCTGGTTCATGGGTCAATGCTCAACCACTGAGCCACACGGGCCGGGCCCTATGATTTTTCTTTAACAGCAAGAACACAACCTTGTTGAGCACTGCAGTGAGCCCAGCACTGGGAACACAGCAGAGAACAGATGGCAGGTCCCTCCCTCATGAGATCTTCCACCGTGTGTGCATGCGTGTGTGTGTGTGTGTGTGTTCATGCACGCACGTGTGAGAATCTAACAATAAATTGATTTACCAGGTGTCATTCCTATACTGTAACCAGCCTTCCCAAAATAGCTTTCAGAACCACAGGATGTTAGAACAGCCCAGCTCCCACCTTGAGCATTTGGGGAAACTAAACCTCAGTTTGAAGTTGAAACCTGGTGAAGGGATTTGTCAAGTTGAAACCTGGTGAAGGGTTTTGTCTAGTGTCACAGCAGAAACCCCGGGCCGAGCCAGACTTGAAATCTGGCCTGCTGACTCCTGGCTTGGTTCCCCCTGCCCTGATTCCCTGCTCTGGCTGCAAGAAGAGCCCTCATCTAGCTGCTCCTCCACGGCGGCTAGGTGGCACCAGAACGCCTTTGAACAAAAGGCTGCCGGTCTCAGCTCTTGTCTGAAAATGCCCGAATCCTTGCAGGAGTCCTGAAGTTTGACTGGGCGGCTCTTGTGCCCTCTAAAGACCCACCTTGGGCATTGCCCCAGCTCAGGGTCCCCACTTTCTGGATCCCACCCCTCCATCCCGCTTTGGGTCTCTGGTTACCTGGCGTAATTCACTTCTATGGGATTGATTTCTCCTCGGGCTCTGTGTGCAGAATGGAAAGTTCTGGCTGGGTGATCAGCTCACGGGAGATATTGGCATTCCGGTTCTCCTGAGGCTGCTTTCTTCCTTACTTTCTGAAGCTTTTGTCTGGGTGAACAACCCAGCTGAACAGTGTGGGCTAGGTCACCGTGCCAGTCGGTGACAGAGTTGGGATGGAGTTCAGGCTAGCTAAGCACTGTGCTTACCTTGTCTCTCAAAGGAATGTCGAGAAGACAAGCCCCTCTGGTGTCTGGTCCCTGTCTCACATTTGTGTAGCTCAGTGGCTAAGAGTATAGGCTCTGGTTTCAGACTTCTGGGGTTAGAATGCTGCCTCCCCACTTGTTAATGGTGTGACTGTGCCAAATTCATGTAATCGCTCTCTGCCTCAGTTTCTCCTTTTGTAAATGGGATGTGGTAGATTACAAATGGCCTCAAATTTCTTTGTAACTCCTCCCACTAAAGGTGGGGTATATTTTCCCACCCCTCTGTAACTGGGCTGGCCTTGTGGCTTGTTTTGAGAGAATGTGGTGGAAAAGATGATGTGTGAGTTCTGAGCCTCAGTGTCAAGAGACTTTGCAGCTTCTGTTCTTACTCCCAGAACATTGCTGCCATGTGACAAGGCTGGCTGATGTCTTTGAGGATGAAGACCATGTGGAGGGAGGTCCCAGCCCAAATTGCCCAGGTACAGCATCGTGAGCACATGAATAATTGTGTTAATCTACTAAATCTTGGGGGTGGTTCATTATGTCACCAATGCTAAATGAAATAGGGGAGAATAATGGTACTTACTTGCCGGGTGGCTGTGAGGTTCTGTGGTGATGTGTGCTTAGACCAGCGCCTAGCCCGCAGTAATCTCATGCAGTTGTGATTACTAACATTGTTATGGGGCATTTCCTCCTGCTCACTGGGTTCTAGTCACACTGACCTCTTTTCTCTCTTAACTTTTTGAATCCACCAAACTGTGTTCCTTTTTCAGGGCTTTCATACTTAATTCTCTCATGGTTAAGGTGGCAGCTGGAACCTCTCCTTCTTAGAGCAGCCTTCTCTGATTGCCATGGGAACTACCTCTTCCCCTCCTCCCTGTCGCCCCTTCTAGACTGTAAATCCCTGGAGGTCAGGAGCTGAACTTCTCTTTGTCTCCTGTTTCATGCTTGCTGCCTGCCACAGTGCTGTGGACGGCAGGCACTGTGTGATATCTGCTGAATGAGTGAATGAGAAAGGGCACCTAATCAACTTGGGTTTGAGGTTGGCACAGGCTTCCAGGAGAGGGGAGTAGCTAGGGTAGAGTTTCAGAGAGGGGGGACTGTGTGTGATGCTTCTAATGCTTGTATCCGGTTTGGTTTGTGTCACACTCTTACATTGGATCAAATCTGTTTTGACACTCTATGCCCAACAAGGCTATGAGCTTCTTTAAGTCAGGGATGAGTTCCTTGCAGCTCCTAGCACATCACAGGCATCTAGCAGGGGCTTAATAGAAGTTTATTGGGTAGATAAGTGAATGGATGGGTGGATAAATGAATGAACAGAGGAGTGAATGCAAAGAAGGATAGATAGATGAGAGAGGACTCAGAACTGCAAGCAATTCTGAAAAATCGTGTTTATTTTTTTCTTCTAATAAAGGATAGCACATTTCCAGTCAATCAGTAAAAGGTCATAAAAGTATAAAAATGTATTAAGTACAATCATTAGGATTATGTTGTAGGGAAATAGTTATAACTTTCCCCCCTAAGGTGGCATGTTGGATAGTCACAGTTGATTTGGTTTACAAAGAAGGGCAGGAGTAGGTGACCAGTTGGCCCGGGACTGAGGAGTTTCCCAGGATGTGGGGCTTTCAGTGCTAAAACTGGGAAAATCCCAGGCTAACTGGGCTGGTTGGTCATGCAAGAAAGAGAGCAGCATCACAATGATGGGTATGGTTTGGCATTTAGGTGTCAGGATCAGACATTTCCTCAACTTCTCCATCACCTCTTTTCCTTTTAGCTCTGAAATAACTATCCCTGTGTTATTATTGAGGGTGTTAACAGCTTTCAAAGGGTTTTCTCTCCCTCACCTCCTATGTAACTCTGACTTGTTCCTATGCCAAGCCTGGGAGGTAGGGCGGTTCTACCCTAATTTGTAGGTGTGGCATCCTGCTTCAAGGTTCCTGGCTCTAGAGAACAAAGATCTATGCCTCAGATCTCCTGAGGCTAGTGGTCTTCCCACGCCTTTGTTCTTTTCGGAAGCATCCTTTCTCATCTGGCTTTCAGGACTGGGCAGGAATCATACAGAGAAAGGGACCCTGAAGTCTGAGTTTTGGCTTAGTCCTCTAATTTGGGACAAAGTCATTACTTCTTTGTCTGCTGTGTTTCCCCTTTAGCAATCCTCTTATAGAATTCCCCTGAATACCTACCAGCTGGCCAGTGCCCGTGTCATTATGTGAAAGAGACCCAGTATTTTGGCTCCAGGAAGGTGCTCCAAATGGCTTCTCCAGTTCAGGTTTGTCAGCAGCGTGGTCAGAGGACCAGCTCAGAGGACCAGCTCAGTCTGCCATTTGCCAACTTGAGATCTTTTGGGGGCTTTGTTGCTGAAAAGTTACTCAAATGAGGTGGCTATGACTCCTAGGCTCAAAGACTTGTTGCATTCATTCCTAACCTTTAAGGATTTTGCTTAATACATAGGCACTGCCTTAAGGATAAAAGGCTTAGTAGCCCTCCCTGACTTATCTTAAAAGACTAGGGACAGGCTATCCTTGCCCATAGTAGACATAGCTTCTCCTGACAGCCTATTAGAATTCTATCATTCATTCTTTTACTTCAACATTGTTTTTGAGCTCATATTTTTGGTATTTACTATCTCTAGGGGTAAGATGCCTATGTAAACTTCCTTTTCCCTGTGAAGTGAGACTTCCAATGACTCTCCCTAATTTAATGGAAGCATGTGCCAGTGTCCTCCAGGCGGCACTCCTCTCTGGGTTAGGCTTAATGAACAGGATTTAACATTGACCCTTGAAGATGTCATTGTTTGGGCTCAGAGTTGCTTGCATCATATGGGTCTATTCTGTGGGCAGGTTTGCTAAGATCTATTCATTTTAGAGTTTTCCTGTTCTGAGAGCTGAATGAGAGTGGGTCCTTTAATATAAAAACAAATAAAATAAATAGCTTTTAAAAAAAGTAGATTCCCCAGGCTGTGGGACATGTGGTCTGTCAGCTAAAGCATGGGGCTTCTGGTATACCCATTTCTCTTAGAATGCTTCTGTTCTTCCTGCCTCTTACACCAGCTGTGGCCCCACAACCCTCTGAAGTATCGGTGGCACTGAGTTCAAGTCTAGTTTTAATATTTAGATGTAGTTTTATTTGACTTAGAGACAAACAGCATCCTTACTCTTTGTGAGTAAAAGGGATGTTAACCCCCACATGGCCATCTCTGCAATACAATCAAGATGAAGCACCTGCATGTCTGCATGTCTGGGTCTCCTCTGAAATTTAAACTCTGGCACCCGTGCGGTGAAGTGATGGTGTGGCAAGACCAGAAACTTCCACAGCCTGGGTTTATACATTTCTTGGAATCTTGGAAACGTATGTATTGGGTTGTAGGCTGTACTTATCTAGAGGATCAGAAGAATGTCTCTGAGGACTCGATGCCATAGAAACATAGCCTCTTTATGAAACTCTGTTTGCAAGATGTGCTGCCTGGCAGCAGGAGAAAACTGGAGGTTGAGTGGTTTCCAGCCTTTTTTGCTTGACCCCCTTAGGGCCAGTACTTCCTCTAATGAAGTCAAGCCTGGCAGGGAGAAAAGAGTAAGACTGGCTCATTCTTTCCTCCATGGAGAGGAAGAGTCGGGTTAATTAGGCCAGCGATTGGGCGGCCTCCCATAAGTTTGTACAGATTTCTGCAGGCCCCTCAGATGGTCAGTGAACTCTGGGATCGGCGATGGCTGCCCCTGCTCGAGCGCTGGTATTTATCAGTCTGCCCGCTGGGGTAGGCCCCGGACGCCATCCTGCTATTGGGCCCCAGAAGAAGGTGATCTTTGGATGAGAGTTTAGCTGAGGTGTCTGCTGAGCTTGGGTTGTCCCTCCTGTGGTCTCTGCTGCTTCTCTCTCCGTGCACACCCCAGTTCTCTGTATACTTCTGCTTGGGAGGGCTGGAGCTCTTTGGGGTGCTGGCTCTGAAGTCCTGTTCAGGGACAGGTGGCACTGGACGGTGGGTGTGCTGAGCGTCTCCAGGGACCGGCATTTGTCTGCTTCTCCAACTCTGGATTTTCAGGTCTCTTTTGTCCTTGGGGAGTTTGTCAATTTTCTGAGCTTTTGTGATCAGGGACTCCCCATATGTCCCTTGCAGAGATAAGAAAAAGTACCTGGTGGGGAAGGAGAAACAACAATAAATCTTTTTTTCTGATTTTTGTTGACGTCTTGAACTTTAGCATTGAAAGGGACCTTCGAATCCAACTCCCCACCCATGGCAAGATCCTTTTCACTGTGCTCCTGACTGTGGTTATTAAATCTATGCCTGGGCACCTCTGGGATTTGGAAGTTCAATAACAATATGTAATAACTAACATTTATCATGAACCAGAACGTTCCTAAATGCTTTAGTATTATTAACTCATCTTTCCCAACAATCCCATGTGGCTGGTACTTTTGCTTTCCCCATGTTACACACGAGGAAACTGAGGCAGTGACTTGTCCAGAGCCACACAGTGGTCTTGCTGTGGTCAGAACCAAGCACTCTGGATCCCTAGAATTTTCTCTTATCTACCATGTATAGGGCAGTCCTTTCTCTTTCTGGGCTATTCTGATTTAGGCAAATTTACTTGCTTTGCAATATCAACCCTTTGTGGAACTTAAGTAGTTTCTAAATACATATTCTCTTGAATCTGTGGGCCATACTAATTTCCCAGCATTGCTGTATTTGCCCCATTTTCCAGATGAAGAAACTGAGGCCCCAAGAGATGAGATAGGGTTTCCAAGGTCACCTGAGCAGTTGCTAGGTTTCCCTGATGGTTCCCAGGGTTCCTTTCCCCGGCCAAGCTGCATAGTAGCCTGTACTGGACTCTGGGATTGGAAGACTCTATCTGTGCCTGGAGTCTTTTCTATTCCACATTTGGGGAAAGAATAAGAGGTGAATACAATTGTGTGGTCTATGGAGAAAGCACATCCCATCTTGTGATACTGGGCTCTGGATATCAATTTTTTTTATCTAAAAAGTAGACATCCAGCCCTGACCGGTTTGGCTCAGGGGATAGAGCATCAGCCTGCAGACTGAGGGGTCCCAGGTTCGATTCTGGTCAAGGGCATGTACCTTGGTTGCGGGCACATCCCCAGTAAGGGGTGTGCAGGAGGCAGCTGATCGATGTTTCTCTCTCATCAATGTTTCTAGCTCTCTATCCCTCTCCCTTCCTCTCTGTAAAAAATCAATAAAATATATTTAAAAAAAGTAGACATCCAGAATCTTTCCCCCAAATAATCCTTTTTAAAATGTTTATTTCTAAAGCCTTATAAGCAGAGACTCCCATCCTTCCACTGTGTCTGAAAGCTTTAGGCAGCCTCACAGTGCACAAGGGGTTTCTGAAGACGCCCACGCCATCAGGTAAACTTTGCCCTATTCTTTCTCATCTCACCCAGAGAGGCAGTACAGGTGGGCATGTTTATTTCAGGAAAGACTCAACTTCCTGCCTGAAAGCTGGAATTTGCTCAGTTTAAACCTTTCCACCAAGATGCTACTTTCCTTCTCCATCCATTTATTCAACAGATACTTAACAAGTTTGTACACTGGGCCACTCCCCCGAGAGATTAACCTGAGAACAGGATAGACAGGTTCTTGCTTTCCTACGGCACCTGAACAGAGTTATAAGCAGAAGGAGCAGTGAGAGTGTCGGACACCTGATCTGGTATGAGACACCTTCCTTGAGGAAGAGACATGCATAGGAGGTGAGAACCAAATCCATGCACAATGGCTGAAATGGAGAGAGAGGACAAGAGGGGAAATGACACAGAGGGGTTGGCAGGGCCAGAGCAGGCAAGGACGGAGAGCCGTGTTTGGTTTTTTGTGCTTTATTGTAAAAGCCTTGGGAAGCCCTGGTAGGGTTATAAGCATATGACATGATTACACTTTGACACAGTAATAGTGGATTAGAGTGAAATCTATTAAGATACTTTTGCAGTAATTTGGGAAGAAAGGATATAATCTATCCATGGTGGTGGCTGTAGATATAAAAATAGCAGATGGATTTGAGAAAGATATAGCATATAGAATTGTCAGGTCTTGGTAATGAGCTAGATGTGGGCATGAGGTGGTGGGTGGTATCAAGGATAACTTGCAGGGGTCTGCCTTGGTCCTAATTGGATAGCATTTGATAGAAGAAACTCTAGAAGAGACCCAGGTATCTTAGATGGTGGTGGTGATAAAGGGAGGATCGTGACTTAAATTATAGATGTCTCCCAATTTCTTTGAACTTAGATGCCTAGTGGAAGTGGTGAATAGGTAGCTAGAAAGATGTATCTGGAATTCAGAAGAGAGGTCTGGGTTGGGAATTTGGAGATTCATACGTTCAAAATATTTATCTTCACACTAGTGGTTGCTATGTCTACGGAGAGACTATAAAGTTAGAAGACAAAAGAACCTAAGACCAAGGCTTGACCTACACCATGTCAAGGACATGCAGTAGGAGAAAAACTGACAGTGTCCAAAAATTGGTATCCTCTATTTAAGGTGCTAATTAAAGTGCTCATTATGTTTTAAGGTTTGTGTGTGCTAGCTTCTTTTGTTTTTATCTGCAAAACAATGTACATGTTCTTGGCTTTAAGAGACTCTGTATAGTTCTTTTGTACTGGTTGAATTAATTAGACCAAGATTAGTGAGGTCAGGGTTAGTAGACTAATTATCACAAGGTTGGTGAGTGAAATCTACCTCCATTATGATAAATACAGCTTATAACCTTAAGTGAACAAATAGTTCTCTGCAGCAAACATTCTATCATGTAGATTTCTATAACAAACATTAATTTTTTCAAGGTTACAAGTCAACAGTCCTTGGAAATATTACAATAATCCTTTCTCAGAAGAAACCTCTTTGCTTTTCTTAGTAAACAGAATTAAACAGAAATTCAACCTTATGATGATAATGTAGAATAAGCAAAAAAAAAAGATTTAACTTATGTGCTATGGTAACTAACAAGTAAATATTTGCTAACTTGTTTCTGTTTAACAAGCTGTACTGTTCAGCGCCATCTATTCAAAGCATGTGTCAACAATCTTTTATTCTTTTCAAGGATTCTCATCAGGCTGGTAGCTTTTGGCTCCAAGGGTAAGACCAAGAATACGGGGCTGATAAATTTCTATTTCTACACCCCCAAAAAGACACAGAACAGAGGAGCTCAGTCCTTGGTCAGTAGTGACCACAACCGTGCTTAACCCCAAAACTGTGGACAAAAGTATTTAACACACATTCCGATCCTCATGGTCTCTCCCAGGGTCCATCTCTCAAGGGGTGGGCTGAAGAAGGGCTGTGGTGGGAAATATATCCCCTGAGGCTTGTGCTTATTCAAAATTTGTAAGGCTGGAGGACAGGAATTATCGCTCCCATTTTACAGATGTCACAACTGAGGCCATGCCCGCTTTGGTGACTTGGCTCCTCTGTGGCATTTTTCTCCAAGTTCATTGTTCTTTCTGTCCTAGGACCCTATCTTTGAGACTATAGCTTCAAGGATCCCAACCAGGAATGAAATTACTGACCCCTGGGCTATGAAAACGGCTCATTGAGGGGGGATTGGCAGTTCTAGGAAGAAAGGGCCCCTGTGCTCAAACCTTGGGAGAAGAGCCACGACTGGTGTGAGGAAGCAGACGAGGTAGAAAGTGGGGTCTGAGAGCTGGACTTCCATCACCCCATAGGGGTTGGTGGGACTGTTGCAGGTGACGCAGGTGGCGTTGTACACTAGGGATACCACAAAGTACATCAGGAAGCTGCCTACGAGAACCAGCCCGTGGATGATGGTCTGTGGAAGGGAAGAAGTAAACACTGTTGAGGGTATAACTTTGTTTTAAGCTGCTGCTTCTTTTTTTTTTTTGAAAATGCAACACAAAATTTGAACACACATACCCCAAGCACCCCTCAATCTTCTGTCTCAGCCTTGACTTTGGTGATAATTTCCAAGCTGTCTTAGGATGTTTTACCACCGTTCTCTGTTTCTCTATGCAGACTGTTTTTTTGAAATGTTAGTAAATAGAATCATGTTTTGTGTGATGAATCCATCTTTTCCACATGTGGCTGTAGTTTGTTTTCAGAGTTCAGTGATGTTGTCTAATCTTGTTTTGTCCTGCCTGTCTCGTGCTGCTTTCTTTCCCTATTTGTATCCTTTTTTTAAACATATTGACTATTTTGCATAATTTTATTGCCACCCTTTACTAGTTTGAAAGTTATGTACTCCATTTCTATTCTTTCAGTGATGACTCAATAAATGATAATAAGCAATCTTAACTTACCGCAGTCTAAAGTTTAGAACTGCTTTCTCTCTTCCTGAATTATACAAGGGCTTTAGAGCACTTTACTTTAACCTCTTTTCCAACATATCTTATTGCTACTGCATATTTTAATTGTCTCATCTTTTTATTTATTTTTTAAAGATATATTTTTTTAAAATATATTTTTATTGATTTCAGAGAGGAAGGGAGAGGGAGAGAGATGGAAACATCAATGATGAGAGAGAATCAGATTGGTTGCCTCCTGCACGCCCCCTACTGGGGATGGAGCCCGCAACCCTGGCATATGCCCTTGATGGGAATCAAACCCGCCACCCTTCAGTCTGCAGGCCGATGCTCTATCCACTGAGCCAAGCCGGCTAGGACTGTCTCATCTTTTTAAAGCACACATGTCATTATAGTGTAATATGGTCAATATTCAGTTATGTTTCCCACTTTCTATGTCTTAATTCCTTCTCATGGAACTCCCATGAGAGATTTCTTTCCTCTTTAAGTGCAGCCTTTAGTGGGAGTGAGCTGGTGATCTATTCTCTTAGTCTTTATTTCATTCTCATTTTTGATGGATATAGCATTCTTGTTGGAAGTTATTTTCATTCGGCATATCTGAGGTAACATTCCACCGTCTTCTGGCTTCCATTTTTGCTACTGAGAAGTTAACAACTCTTCACCTGTTGTTCCTTAGAAGGAAATCTGTCACTTCAAACCTGGCCTGCTTTTATCATTTTTATTTTGTCTTTAGTTACCTTATGATATAGTAAGTGTGAATTTCTTTTTATCTTGTTTGGATTTTGCTGACTTTCTTGAAATGCTGGATTGATGTATTTCATCACTTCTATAAAATTTTCAAGTTACTAAGAATTTGACCAAATGGATATTAGACCTTTTAAGATACCACCCTATCTTCTATATATTTAATACCTCTTCCATAATATTCTTTTCCCCCACTCTGTTTTATATTCTGGATAATTTCTTTCGTCCACTAATTTTCCCCTTTAGCTGTATCTAATTTGCTGTTAAGCCAGCCATGAAAATAAATTGCATTTGTTGTATTTTTTTTATTTCTAAATGTTTTATTAGGTCTATTTTCCAGTCTGCTGGGTTGCTTTATATAGTTTACCAATCTGTAGATATTTTTAAAGCTTAGTCTTTATTTATTTAAATATAGTAAACATAGCTTTTCTATAATTTATATCCGATAATACCATCTCCTAAAATATTGGTTTCTGACTTTTTTTTTAATCCTCACTAATTAGTTCTTGTTTTCTTGAGAGCTTGGTTATTTTTGAATACGTGGTGCTTATTGCCCTGGAAAAGTTAGTAGGGACAATTTGAGACTTAGTTTGAGATACTTTTCTCTCGAGTGTGACTCACCAGGTGATACGAGCCTGGGCTGCAAATCTGTCCGAGGCAGCTGTGTTAGTTTCCTACGACAGGTCCTTTATCAACGTCCAGCTTTATCAATTTTAACCTTATGTAATATTTGTCTGATTTTTGTTGAAAGGTTACAGCTTACAGATATAATCAAAGCATCCATCTATCCCCTGTAAATGCTTTGTTTAATCTTGAACATAAATTCAGTGTTCATCATTCCAATGCATATTTTATACATACATGTTTGTGCAGCCATGTTTATGGTTGCTCTATTACTTTATCATGTATGGGTATCCTTCTGTACCTTTTAAAACTACACACTGTGCTTTGGAGTTTTACTACATTGATAGATACAGCTCTAGTTTATTCATTTTAACTGTTCTATTGTATAAATATGCCACAATTTGGCATATTTTCCAGTTGATGAACATTTAGGCTCTTTGCTTTTTTTTTTTTTTTGCTATTAAGAACAATGGTGTAATTCTTATACACGTCTCTGTATACACAGATGCAAGATTATTTCCAGGGCGCACACTTAGAAGTAGAACCGTGTCATGGTATATGAACATTAACTCCTGGCTATTTTCAGATTGCTCTCCAGAGTGCTGGTATCAGTTTATGATCTAAGAGGATATGAAAGTTCCTTGGTTGGCCTTTATTGTTTCTAAACAAACTGCTGAGTTGCTTTGCCAGGAATTTATTTAGAATTTTTACATCTATGTTCATTTAGTGAGACTGGTCTATAATTTTCTTTCCTCGATCTGTCCATGCTGATTTTGGTGTCAGGATTATGCTAGCCATGAAAAAAATGCCGATTTTTTTCTAATCTGTGAAATAATTGGTATAAGGTAGAGATTATCTGTCCTGTATAAGTTTGATCACAGGATTATAAATTAAGTTTCTTTAATGGTGATTGGTTTACTCAGGTTTGCAGAATGATTTTGACTATGTTTTGGTCAATTTTACATTTAAAAAATATGTTTAAAAATTGATCATATCTACAATTACAGTCCTTTTTATTCTGAGTATCATTTCTGTGGTCTTTTTGTGTCTTCTCCTAAATGGGTTTTGCCAGAGATTAGTTTTCATTACATTTTTGAGGGGCTCAATTTTGGTTTTATTGATTCTATTGTTTCCTTGATTTTTACCTTTGTTTTAAATAATAAAACTTTAGGTACTCTCACAAATTTGTATATATTTTTATAGTCATTTAGTAACAAGTATGTTATAATTTCCCTCATGAGTTGTTTAGAAATGCATTTTAAATTTCCAAGCACTTTGAGTTTGGCTATTTTTTATTGCTTATGATACAGTTTCTCTCAAATTCCTTTGCGATTCAGAATTTGGTCTTTTAAATTATTGGTAAATGGCCTGTGTGTTTAAATAGATGCATGTTTGGAGCATGATTTTATATATTAGGTCAAGTGTGATAATTCAATGCTTCCATATCCCATTTTTTCCCAAATGATCTAGTCTCTTTATGATGGAATTATATCAAAATCTCATAGTAGCATTGTGAACTTGTCCATTTCTCCTTATATTTTTCTGGATAAAAAAAATCCAGTCTGATAAATTTTGCTTTTAATAGGTAAATTGAATACTGATATATTTGGATTTATTTTGAACACATATGTAATACTTTCAACACTAAAGATTAAAAAACACACAACACATACATGTATTTATCCATCACTTTGAGATATATGTACGCCAAGTCATCACGCTGTACACTTAAACTTACACAATGCTGTAAGTCAGTTAAGTCTCAAAACAAAGCCTACTGAACACAAAGGACTCTGGGAAGTTAAATGAGATACTACATTAAAAAATCATGTAGATAGGTACCTGTAGATAGGCATATAATTTTAAGAAGAACTTAATGAAAAAGCTGGCAGTGCCCTTTTAGATACTAAAGTGTGATATTTGGGCTTGAAATGTAGTTATGTAGAGGCAGTTTTCTAATCTTTTATCCTGAAATTAAATGGGGAGCACATCCCTTAACAGCATGGTTCTCCTTGTCTCTGAAAACACCCTTCAATTTTTTATTAATATCTATTTTTACAACTAATTGTTTCATTGTTTTATATATGTTAGTTTTATCATCCTGGCTAGATGATAAGCAAGTTGAGGCCAGGAATTTTTTTCTTCTACACCTCTTTCATCCTTGCACAGGACAGACACAGGTAAAAGCTCAATATGTATTAATCGAGTAGGTCAGTGACATAAAGTACAACTCAGAAATCTGAATGTGGTCAATAATCAGGAACACAAATTTTAAGCCAAACAAGCACTTACCCAGGTCTTCATTTCCATTGCCTGGTGCAAGAGGATTGTGGCGAGGGAGATGGTGTTGATGGGTGTCCCAAAGGTGAAGACATCGATGTCAGAGTCCTTGTAGGTCTGCAGAGGAGGAACAAATAGGTACCCTCAGATGTGCCTGTGGACTCAAGGCCTTGGCTTTTTTTTAAAAAATAATTCTTTATTGTTGAAAGTATTACATATGTCCCCTTTCCCCTTCCCTGCCTTCAGCTGAGACCGTAAGGAGGAGTTAATCTCTTGAGGAGAGGGGAGGGAAGGCAGTCCAGCCAAAGGCCAGAACTGAGGGTGGATGTGGTGGGCTGTGGAATGTCAAATAGTTCTAGATGGTGGGTGTGTTGAGCTCAAAATAGAAGCAAATGATTCAGCAGGAAAGACTAGCAGAGGTCTGACCAGGGAGGGTATTGTAAGCTAGGAAGTTAAAAGAAAGCATAAAATGCCTGCTTTATCGACCCTCGTGTTGATAACTGCAAAAGGATATGAGTCCCGAGGCTGTGTAGACACTACCATACCTGATAGCAGTTAACCCACATTATGGTTCCCTGTCCAGGAAAAATAGATACCCTTCACTATCTAAATTCTCACTCTCCACTGAGGAACCAGATTGAGGTGGGGCTGGTATCCTTGCTGTATGTATTCCTGCTTTTATTTCAGGTAATGTAGTATTCTTCATTATCAGAACTTGCTGTCTGAATGCTTGAAGCACAAATCTAAATGAAGGGTTGTAAATCCAGATACGTTTAGTGCTCAAATAAGCAACAGTAAATGAGTGAAGAAGGCCTGGGATAAGACAAAAGGGAGCGGTGGGGACTATGGCAAACGAGAATATGGGCCCCATCTAAGCAGGGCTATGAGTCAAGTCTGGACTTCTGCCATGAGGGAAAAATGATCCCATGTAATGATAGCTTTCAGTTTTCCAAAACCTGGCAGAAAGTAAAATGTTTGGGCAAAGCTTTCTGACTTGTCAAACACACTAGGTTGGAGGTAGTCGCAGGCTACCTGTTTTGAGCCTCTGCTCTGAAGTGTCTAGAAAGACACAACTAGTCTAGGATTTCCTATAAACAGGACGAGTGTCACCCTGCGATTTGTATGGTTAGAATGGAATGATTGATATGACTTACCAGGTAAGGAATAAAGAAACAGATGAGGCTCTGGTAGAAAGCATCCATCATGGAAACCCAGAACGTCATCAGGTTATAGCACTGCCAAGAAAGAATACACGAGCAGTTACCACCACCAGAATGGCTCTCATCAGTGAACCCACAAACAACGAGCTGTGGTGAGCACGTGGAGAAAAGGGAGCCCCCAGACACTGTTGTTGGGAATGCACATTGGTGCAGCCACTGTGGGAAAGAGTATGGAGGTTCCTCACAACATTAAAAATGGAACTGCCACGTGATCTAGAAATGCCACTTCTGGATATTATTTGAAGAAAACAAAACATTAATTTGAAAAGAAATATGTACCCCTATGTTGATTGTATATACCTATACAGGGTATCCCAAAACATGTATACATTCTTTTAACAGCTGATAGTTCAATTGATATTTCTTTCTTTACAGATTTAACCCATTGGAATTAATAATGGCAGCCAAAGGGTATATATTTTTGGGGAAATACATATATATATATATATATATATATATATATATTACAGCCTATGCTTTTGCATCATTAACTCTGAATGATAGGCACTCATGGAATACATCATCCCGCCAGCGTGCCTGTGGGGAGGGGGCCGGTGGAAAGCCTAGGATGCCCCTGCGCCATCGCATGTCCCCCTCGCCTGCGGTGCGGGGCTGCTGTGCTCTCCTGCCTTCGGGTTAGGACTGCACTTGCCTCTTCGCTGGCTGTCCACAATGTATCACCAGCCCTTAGGCACCCACCTTGTGTGCGCTGCTCCCTCCCAGGTGCCAAGGGTCCTTTTCCCAGAGCTCCTCCTGCATCCCACCTCCTGACCACCTGTCTGACTTCTAAAAATCAGTCAGGTGCCACTGTGGCCGCTCGGTGTCCTTTAAGAAACCATTCTGATGGCGCCGCAGGCCTTCTTCAGTCTACTTCATACCAGCAAGTTCTAGGCCACATGTAGTTGTAGTTTTGCCTTTCCTGACCTGTGGTGGAAGCCCTCGCCTCACCCGTGGATGAGTTAACTGTTTTTTACTCCCAGGGGCTCTGTGGAAGGCCCAGAGAGGGGAGCTGGCTCAGGGGGATCTTTCTGCATGCCCTCTCTCTCTTCAACTCGGGCAGTCCCATAATGGGTGATATAATTAAGAAATATCTAAAAGAAACATACTCACTGGTCTGGTTCGTCAGTCATCCTCACAGCAAATGCTTGGCCACGTGGGAGGTGAGGGGCAGAGTGGTGACTGAATGCGGGGCTCCTGACCCCCAGCCCCATGGTCATGCCCTGACACCTCCAGGGAGAAGCCGAGCCCCTTACCTCGGAGTCCTGGCCGCTCCTGTACAGCTCGGGCAGCGCCAGGAGTGTCTCCGCAGAGATGTCTTTATCGAGGATCCCGAAGACCAGAGGAGGCAGTGAGGTGAAGAAGAGATTGAAGAAGATCATCTGCCAGTAGTCGATCATGGTGGAGCCCGAGAAACCGCAGAAGAACTGGTACCAGAAGAGCAGGTTGACGTAGCACTGCAGGCGGACAGCGTGGGTTGGGTAAGGACTGGAGATACTCAATCCTTAGAGCAGGGGCTCCTGACCCTATTATCACTACCTACTGCTGCTAACTACTACTCCTGCTAACTACAGTAATGTCTTCAGGACCTTATTAAGGTAAGTGTAGTTTGATGGTTAAGAGCACAGGTTTTGGAGGCAGAGAGGGTTTTGAATCCCCAGTTCTGTCACTTACTAGCTGTGTGACCTTGGGCAAGTTGCTCAACCTTTCTGAACATTACCTTGCCACCTTTCAGTAGTACCTGGACTATGGCATGTGGTCCTGAGAGGCAGCAGTTAGTAGTAGTAGGGTGGAAAGAGAAAGGGATGGCCCTGAGGCAGGCATGATGGAAAGACTGGACTGTGGGCAGGAAGAGGATTTCATGAGAAGGTTCCTCTCTCACACTGTGCTAATGGTCATGCAGCTGAGAAGGGTGAAAGAGGAAATCTGCTTAACTATTGCTTTTTGCTTTCTGAAACCTCTCACTCCAGTCCTCCCACCTGGGCTGGGCTGTTACTGCGTGAGAATAGTGATCCAGGTTGTGACGTGGTTTGGTGACCTGTGCAAGGTCATGTAAGTAAGCAGTTAGCCCTGGAGTTAGGACTGGACCCTCTCTGCTGTGTGTGGCTGAAGCCCCAAGGGGCAAAGGATATTGTGAGAAATCACTCAGCAGGTTGGAATTCTCATTCCCTAACTGCCGTGCCAGGGTTATTTTGAAGAGCCTGGCTATGTATTATTATTATAATAATATAAACATGTTAATACTATAGACATGTTAATACTATTAGTAATACCATTAATTGTTATTTGACCTTCTATTTGTGTGACATAGCATATGAGTACATTATACATTATTAGATGTGATATACATTATAATTTGTCCCAACAACCTGGCAAGATTAATATTATTGCTAATAATATAATTCTATCATATTTATGCATCATTATATTAATACTAGAGACCCAGTGCACGAAATTCATGCATGGGGGGTGGGTGTGTGTCCCTCAGCCCAGCCTGCACCCTCTCCAATCTGGGACATCCAGCCTGCACCCTCTCCAATCTGGGACATCGCTCTCACAATCCGGGACTGCTGGCTCCCAACAGCTCACCTGCCTGATTGTCCCTAACTGCTTCTGCCTGCCAGCCTGGTTGTCCCCAACTGTCCTCCCCTGAAGGCCTGGGTCCCCCCTAACTGTCCTCCCCTGCAGGCCTGGTCCCTCCCACCTGCTCTCCCCTGCTAGCCATCTTGTGATGGCCATCTTTGACCACATGGGGGTGGCCATCTTGTGTGTTGGAGTGATGGTCAATTTGCATATCACCTCTTTATTATATAGGATGTTAATACTATTCCTAGCCCCACTCTATAGATGAAGAATCAGAGGCTCTAAGATAATCAGATACCCCTTGCCCAAGTTCAGAGCTAGAAAGTGCTACAACCAGCACCTGAGTTTTCAAAATTCTTTCTCATCAACCACCCTCAAGCCTTCTCAGTCCACCTTTGGGTTATTCTTCCTGGTTTCCACCTGACCCTACATGTCACTCTCAACAGGGAGTTCACAGAGGTCAGGACACTAAATAAAGTATCTATTGACAAACATGTTTAGAGTAGGGGGTCATCTGGGTTTTAATCTTTCTTGCCCGACTCCAGAAGGCTGTGTGAACGTGGGAGAGTCACTAAACCTCTCTGAGCCTTGGCTTCCTTGTCTCCTAGAGATGCCCATAGCACCCTGACCTTCCTCCAGGCAGATATTTTTAAAATTAACTTTCTTTCCCCTATACTAGTGCTTATCCATCTTTAAGGTTCGTAGGAATCATATTGGGATTGTATTAAAAATGCAGATTGAGTTAGCAGGCCTGGGGTGGACCTCGAGGATCTGCATTTCTAAAAGTGTCTAGGTAATGCTAACGCTGCTGGTCCCCAAACGGTATCTTGAGAAGCAATGATTACTGAGACCAGGAGATGACAAGCCAATCCAACCACAAATGCCGGGACACAGCCACCTCAATTCATTTGCACAGTGTCTATAACTGCTTTCATGGGACCACAGAGGAGTTGAGTAGTTGTGACAGAGGCTAGATGGTCCACAAAGCTGAAAATATTTATTACATAGCCCTTTGCAGAATTAAGTTTGCTGAGCCCTGATTTAGACTGTAGGCATCTCTATGCCCAGTGCCTGATAATGTTCCCCACACAGTAGGTGTTCGATAATGATTTGAATAATCATTTGCTTATCTTAGTTGTTCTTTTCTCCTAACACTCATGCTGGAGTTTTAACATTAAAGAGGGTTTTCTTCCTCTGAGGCCCTGGGAGGACCTTGCTTTTCTCCACTTCCTCTGTCGGGAGTCTTGGCACCTTGGAGGGAGTGCATTGAACCTGGTGATGGCGTCGCCAGATTGGGCGCCTGCCTTTCCTCCCAGAAGCCAGGGTGAGGTAATTAATTCATTGTTCACATTGCAGAGCAGGCCGGGCTTTAATCCCCTCCGAAATTGGTTTCGGATGTGGAACTCAGAGTTCTCCACCCTCTAATTGCAAAGGGAGATAATGCGCGTCAGTATCTCCGTTTGTGAGCGAGGCATCGGGCTGGAAATAAATATCATTTAAGTTTTGAAAGCATGGCTGGCTGGCAAGGTTGCCTTTTCTATTTCACAAATTTATGCAGAGAAGAGATTGGGCTCATTCAGAAGAACTATTCCCTTAGAGGCCAAGAGAAAAAAAAATTAAACAGAGGTATGCTGAATTCTAACTAAACAGTCTTTCATGCACAAAGTGGGTTCAAGTCAAATTGTGACTTTGCATAAACTTGCTGAAATAGTATCATCCAGCTTATCAAATTAACATTATTTTTTTGCCATTCTGTTGATATATTAAACTCTGCACAAAAATGCTCACTCCTGAGCAAGGGTAACTGTGAGGGCGCTCACAAACAGGAGCAAGAGGGGGAAAATGCAATTTTGAGGCAGCTACTTGGCTAATGTTCTTCTCTTCCATCCTCTTCTGGTCTCAGTCCTCCCTCTTCCCTTATGCAAACAGGAGTGGAATCTATTTGGACACTCTTGGGGATTAGTCAAAGGTCCTTGAACTAGATAATGAAAAACTCAGGCCCTTGCTTTCTCCCTTAGCACAGCAATGCTGATTTCTTCCTATACCCCTTGTTAATCCAGGGCTTTTCAAACAAGGGCCTCCGACAGTTTTAATACCTCACCTTTATCAACAAGACAGAAATGAACATATTTTTTAGGAGAAACAAATTCTTGTATTTGTAAAGTGCTACGTGCATTCCAGAGCTCTGACACTAAAGCCGCTTGATAAGACTCCTGGGGACAGAGAGGGTGATAGTCTTCCTGTTATTGATGAGGAAACCAAGGCTCAGAGAGGTTAAGTGACTCTTCCACATTCACACAGCATGCTGGATCAGGCAAGACTGAAACTCAGATGACCTCCCTAGTCTAAACATTTTTACCGATAGATATTTTATTCAGTGTCTTGACCTCTGTGAACCCCCTGTTGGGAAGTGACATTTGGGTTGGGTGGAAGTCACGGACTTCATCTTAAACCTTTACCTTGGCTCTTGCATTAGAGTGGCTCTATCTGGGAAGGACATCTAAGAGAAAAGCCACACTAGTGAACCCAAATCCACAAATCATTCAGCCCACACTAGTTGTTCTTCAGATCCTTCTCTTCCTTGCAGTCAGAAAATAAATCTCTTTTATAAAGCCTGTCTGAGAGTAACAGCAGCAGCAACGATGATGAAAAACAACGGCTAACTCTACCGGGTAATTACTACATGCCAATCATTTTATACACAAGCTCTCGTTTAATCTTCTGAGCAAATATATGAGAAAGGTACTTTTATCAGCCCCATTTTACAGATGGAAAAACTAAAGCGTAGGGCCATTGCCAAATACAGGAGCCTAGATTTGAGCCAATTATGTCTGACTCCAGAGTCCATGTTTGTAACTATTCATGCTGCCTCCCAGGTACCAGATGCTTTAACCCATATCGTCAAAGACAAAACCGAGGCCCAGAGAAGTGCATTGTCTCGCCCAAGGTCACAGAGCTGGTAAGGGACTGTATCAGGATTCAAAATCCAGGTGAGCCTGACCCCTCCCCTCCTGCTGAGATGCTTTGTCTAATGTGGGGACAGCTGGTCCCCAGCAAAGACTCCCCAGGCCCAGGTGGGAGGTTGCCGTGGGCCACTCACCACGTTCTTGTAGAAGTAGTACACCACCATCCTGGCCAGCCGGGAGTAGCACCAGTGGCCATGCACCAGCAGCAGCTTCTTGAGGTGTCTGAAGCGGGAGATGGCGAAGTCACTGGACATGACGGCCTACAAGGGCAGAACAGAGACAGCGCGTCCATCATTGCTGCCCGTGCACCAAGAGGCTCCCCGAGGGCAGGCCTTTGCTCTAGGTCCATAGCTAGTAGAGTCTGAAAGGCCTTTTGCCCTCATGTGGTGCCCTTGGGTGGCTCTTTCTCACTAGAATTCAAAAAGGGCAGGGCAGAAGGGGCCAGTGGTCTAGTTTGGCCTTTTGTCTCCTTCTGTTTGTTCAACAAGCATTTATTATGGCCCAGTGTGTTTCGGGCACCATGCTAGGGGTTTGATGGTTACCCAGAGAGTAGGGGGCTTCCAGGCAAATAATCCTCAAACCCCTGAGCACCTCCTGAGGCAGGCCATTCGCTCCACGCTCAGATGGCATGTGTCTTCTGCCCTTGGGGTCACTCAGAACAAGACACAGTTCCTAGAACTCTTAAGACTGTGAGGTTTGGACAAGCTTAGTTATAAATCCTGGCATGAATCTAGGGAGGAAGCATGCAGTCAGAGGAAGGCTTAGGCTTCTGAAACTGGGGGTCCTTATGACTGATTAAATTGAACTTTAAATTCTAACTAGAAACCTCTCCCTCTCCCCTAGCCTCTCCTCAAGAGATTCAGCAACCCCCAAGGCAGCAGAAGACAGTACTCCAGACCTGACTAACATGGCAGACTAATAACATCTTGACCTATTTATGTTTCAGTTCCTGAGCCCTAAGGTGGAAGGACCCCTTAACTCCTTTCCCATGAGACAGGACAGAGGGACCGGAAAACACCTCAGAGCTGTCCTCAAGACCTGAAGAATGGATTCATCACCCTTGCTTCACCTCTGACAATCAGCTCCCAGCTGGACCCCTGAACCATGGTGTCTTGTGATTTTTCCCTGTACACTCTGTAACCTATATGCTTTTTGGGAGTCCGGCTGGCTTTCACATTAGCTCCCTGTCTCAAGCCAATTCAGCATTAAACTTTCTATACTGCAAACTCCTGCTGGTGCATATCTTTGGGCCCGTGCATGTAGGCAGAAGAACTTAAGGAAAAACATTAGGTTTTGGTGATAACGCTTCCCTGAATGGTTGGGCACTATTTGGCTTTAGAACATAGGTATCACCAGCTGTTTGTAAAAAGCCAAGCATCCTTTGATCTCCTTTGTGTTCTGAAGGACTGGGCAGGAGGGAGCTGGTGATGGAGGCTTATGACACAGACGCCTCCTGACTTTCAAATGATAATTCTGCAAAATTCTCCGGGAGAAGTTCACCCAACTGCGAAGAATGCCCCAACTCTCCAACAGTGACCAAGGAGAGCAAGGAAGAAACAAGAACAATTAATGGGAACAGTACCTGCATTCCTTCCTGTCCAGATATTCCAATCCCAATGTCAGCAGCTTGAATCATGCTTACGTCATTTGCTCCGTCACCTGGAAGAAGAGCGGTCATAAGGTATCTTTATTCCTGGTCCAACTGCTGTGGGACACAGGAGGGTTTTTATACCAGTATCTCTAAAGTGTTCCATTTGTACTTAATTGAATCCTTTTAACATTTCTCTAGTTTTACAGGAAAAGTCAATTGCTATGGTGTTTGGCCTGAGAGATGTCTTTTCTTCTTTGGACAAGAAGCCCTACTTTTTATCATTCAACAAATATTTGTGTCCTTTTTCTAGGCACAGTATTAGCTATTGGGAATACAATGGGGAGTGAGTGGGACTTGAACTGTGCTTATAGTTTACACAAAAGGCCTTCACAAATGTTACAATGGACTTTACTGAAGAGCAAATGGAGAATCTGAGCAACATAGGGACTTGGCAAGAGTAATGCAAGACAAGTGCTAGTGAAGACACTTAGGAAAATTGAGATCTTTCCAATTCCAAAGCTGGTATACCTTCCCGAATTCACTATGACATGAAATACTGGCCATTTTAACAACTAAGTCATCAGATTGTCAATGGTATTCAAGGACGGGGACAGTGTTTAGTTTTGTTTTTGAATATAGACAAATCAGATTGACTACCCTTTTGGTTGAGGTACATTTAGTCACACTGAGTTCTCATTCAATGAAAATTCAGGAAACTGGAGGTTGTTAGGGCCTGTACTACCAAATAGATTTTTCTGTAATGATGGAAATGTCTTATATCTTTACTGTCCAACATGGAAACCACTAACCACATGGGACTATTGAAATGTGGCTCATGAAATTCTATTTAATTTTAATTTTAAATGTAAATAGCCACAGATAGCTAGGGGTCAACTGTCTTGGACAGCACAGCTCTACACATTGAGTTGTATAGATCATAAGCCTCTTCCTAATGCTTTATCTATTACAGGAGAGTTTAGCAAACTTTTTCTGTAAAGGGCCAGATAGTAAATATTTTAGGCTTTGTCAGCCAAGATGCAAAATTGAACAACTGTCCTTACATTTAGGAAAATAAAAACCATCTCAGCATCCCTATATAAAAGCATGCAGTGGGCTGGATTCAGCCTGTGGGCTGTGGTTTGTACACTATATTGCCTTCACCTCCTGACCCCACCTCTTTTCCCAGAAGGTTCTCATAATCTGCAATTAACTATCTATTAGACATCATAGAAAATATGTCATTGGGGGAGAGAATTTTCTTCCCCTAATTATGGGGCAACAAAATGTACCGATCTTAAAAATTTTATCATTATTAGTAGCCATTATTCTTATGATTTTTTTTCCTTGATAGCAGAGCAGCACATAATTTTAATCTTCCCCCATGGCAGAACAAATCCACCCTTTCACCTCTTCCCGTAGCAAACCAGTGGGAGTGGAGGTGTATAATCATGCTCTTTCTCACCCTGCTGGTGTTGTCTCTGTTGCTATGGGAATGAAGCCAATCTCATACTTCAGGGAATCAGTCTCAGGTGATTGCCTTGTGTGTGTCTAAAGTTTTGAAGAGGACAACTCAGGGGAATAAAATTAGAATGCAGTGGCTAAAGCTATGCTCCCTATATTCTTTCTGCCCACTTCCTCTTTTTTTTTTTTTTAGGGTGGTGGTGTTGTTTTTACTTGAATACCAGGAGAAAAAAACAACATATAATAGGTTTCTTATTTGGAATGCCATGAAGGACAATCTCTTCCCATGTCTGTGTAAAAAGAAGAGAACCTGGAACCGTTTTCAAGAATGTCCCTAAATAAATACAATATTTACTATTTGTATGGTATGTGCTGGGCGTGGGATGAAATGGTGGGTAAGAATGACATTGTCCCTCTACTCAGGGACTCATGGTCTCCCGAGCAGGCCATCATAGAAAGCATACCAGCACTTTGGAGCTAGGAGGGCTGTGTGCCATGGGAGCTCCCAGAGAAAAGGGAGGTTAGGAGGGATTGGAAGCAGGAGGGTTTTACAGAGGAGATAGCTTGTGCAAAGGCATGGAAGAGGGAGGGGAAGAGAGAAAAGAATGGAACGGAGGGAGGGGGGGAGGGAGAGAGAGAGAGAGGGAGGACGAGGCTCTTGGAGAATGGGAAGTAGTTTCTCTTGGTTGGAACCTAGAGTGCTGGGGAGAGGAAAGTGGCTGCAGAGAGGAAGGTGGCTGGAGGGTTAATGGAGACCAGTAAGATTCTTGTAAACCAGGATTAGTTGTTCCTGGAAGGTTTGAAGTAAGTACAAGCTTTACTTCTCTACCTCAACCTTGATTAAAGTTTAGTCTTCTATGAGGAATTCTTCATCAAACAACAAGCCAGCATTTAATTGAGTATGTGCTTTGTGCTGGGTCTTGTATATAGCAATGAACATACAAAATTAAATATGGGACTGGCCCAACTTTTAAATCTCCCCACCAGCCATCAGCACTCGACAGAGTATCAAATCCACAAACACCCGAGGTTCATAGCATTGTGCCACGTGTTAAGTATTGAAGGGGAAATGGTCTACATCCCAGAATTGAGTTGGCCTGGGTGTAGATGAGCTACCTGGATTTGAGGCCCCTCTTGGCTTTGGCCTCCATCCAAGTCCTGATTTTTCTGTAGCTGACTTTCTAATCCTGAGAACTTGGATTCACTCTCCACCTCGGCTTCATCTCCTGGCTGCCACATTTGTCACTTTGACCTCTCTCCCTTTAAGACAATGACCTTCAGTCTAAGCATGTTGACTTTGATACCTGACAATCCCCCTCCCCCAATCTGGTCCAGGCCTCTCATCAGATTAGCCCTATAAAACTGCCACCCACATCTCAGCATGATGGGTACCTATGGAAAGGGTCATGCCGCTCAACTTGTCTCGCACCAGCTTGACGATCATGCTCTTCTGCAGCGGCGTGGAGCGGCAGCACAGGACAGACCGGCAGTACTGGGTCAACTCCAGAAATTTGTTCTCCAGCTTTCCCTGGAAAATGGCATTCAGTGTCTTCCCATCGATGACCAATCCAACTTCTGGCACTGCGGCTCCTGAGGCGGGGGGAGGTGTCTCAGAAGGTAGGCGCAACCCAAAGAGCTTGCGCTCTGGCTTCCGTGGTCCATGAAATTGCTTCACTTCTTCCAGGGCACAGTTGAGGATGGATTCACAAGTTTCCTGTAAAGAGTCGGAATAATGCATTTGGTGTTAGTAAGCAACATTGGAAACGTAGGTTTAAAATCTCACTTTATCCTTCAGTAAAATAGTTACCAAACTCTACCACCATATGGATCGCTTACCTGAGAAACATTCTCTGATTTTTATATTGCTCTGCAATATTTCAAACAACATCAAAGCTATATTAATTTGGAACCAAAACTAATGGCCAAAATAGGAGATACTGCTTGGGAATGGGCATGGCAATAGTTCAGCAAGATGGGGACTGATATGGGGATGGTATGAGATACTAAATAATGCTAATGTGATGGTAAATAGGACAATATGTGCTAGAATAATGCTTTCTGTGTGTCAGTCATTTTAGCTATCCTTTGTTCCTTAGAACAGTCCTGTGTGTAGGTAGGGTGTTATTACCAATGTTAGTTTAGAGAAGAAGAAATAGAAACTGAAATTTTTAGTAACTTGCTCAAGGTCATCCAACTTAGTAGTGAAGGCAGACCAATACTACTCAAATTGTGGCCTCCTAATTGAAAAAATACATGAACTGTGTGTTTATCTGTTGGTATGAATGTGTTGTTCACTGCACATGGATGTGAAAGTCTTATTGGTTTAAAGAAACTTAATTTTTTTCTGCCCTGTTTACCTTGAAACATAGTGAAGAAGTTTATTTCCTCTTATCAATTCTCCTCCATTCCTTTTGGTTATGTCAGATTTTGGTTCTAAATATATTCTTCATCCTCTTTATGTTCCATAAACATCATTTTAAAATAAAGCTAGAGAAAAACTGTGGCAGCCAACTGTATTATCGATTTTAATAGCATTGTGCCGTTCACATGGTCTTTTCTTAGCAGTATTTTTCATTTACTGCCGTGCCAAAAATTCCTTCCAAAAATGAATTTTAAAATGCTCAAAGTGAGTCAATTTAAATGAAGTCATTAAATAAAAAATAGTACAGGCAATACGTGGATTTTAAAAATTGTGGAAGTTGTTCTAAAATGACAGGTTTGGGAACCATTGATCTAGAAGCTTCTGAAAATGTTATAATTTTTCTGGAGGCAGTAGGACTGCAGCTTATTATTCCCGAGGCTTCCTTTAGGAAACACTAAAGAGGCAGTCAGTGTGCACAGACCCTAAAGCGCTACAGGAAGTAGTTCAAGGAGCTACTGGTTACACCTGAAATACTTACTTGGGAAAGAGATCAAGCTAGTCCTTGCTGGAAGTTGGGATTAGCATACATTTTAAAAATTCCTCCAGCACAGGACCACAACAAGTCACTGAAAACGTAAGCTTCCAAGTAAAAACCCCAAATTTTGAATTTTCTATGTAATAATCCCAATAGTTACTGTTCATTTAACATTTGGTATGTCAGATGCTGTGGTAGGCAGCCCCTTAGCTGGTTCTCAGTGATCTCCACCTCCCAGGATTCATGCCCTTGTGCAATCCCGTGAGGGCTAGGACTAAGTGACTCCTTTCTAACGAAGAGAATTCTGCAAAAGTGATGGGATGCCACTTCCAGGTTAGTTTGAAAGACTGGCTACCAATGCCGCATTCTTTCCCACTGTGCCCTGGATGGCTTGGCTTGCCTGGGGAAAACCAGCGGGCAGGCTGTAGAGCACTCTGTGGAGATGCCCACACAGCAAGAACCAGGCCTGCTAACAATTATGGTCCATGAGCTTGGAAGAAGGACTCTCCTCCATCCCCAAACGACCCATCGCATTGAGCATCTAGCTGAACACACAACCCTGACTGACAGCTTGACTGAAACCTCAAGAGAGACCTTGAACCAGAGGTACATACCCAGCTAGGCCACTCCTGGACTCCTAACCCACAGAAACTGTGCAATAATGTTTCTCCTCTTTTAGTGGCTAAGTTTTGATATAATTTGTTAACAAATACAAATCCTATGCTAATAAATATTTTCCTTCTATGATCGTATTTAATCGTCCCAAATAGCCTCTGAAATAAATCTTTTCTAAATGAAGTTCAGAGTTATGGTATGTGCACAATATTAAGCTTTCAAATATGTTGTTAATAATAACAATAATAGCTGCTATTATTAGTTTCTATTTAATACTATAGTCCCTTCTAAGATCCCTTAACAGATCAACACTTCCAGTGATGGGTTATTAATTCTCTCATCTTATGGCTGAAAACCCTGAGGTCTAGACAGGTCCCCTAACTTGCTTATGGCTTTAAGATGCATAACAAAGAAACAGTAGCTCTAAATCAATTTATAATGAATTAGGCAGATAAAAACCCTTGGAGAAAATATCCACTGAATATGTAATTACATTAAACGGGGGTTGAAATAAATCCGAGATTTAGAATGGATTTCCCCAGGGTCTCTCTTGACATATCCAGGCATCCACTCCTTTTCCCCAGACAAGAAGATGAGAAAGACAAGTAGGCTTAGCACATCCAAGGGTGTGGGTAGAAATTAACAATCAGGCACCATCATGGAAGGTCCCAGACAACTTTAAAGAGTTGATAGTGACTGAAAACATGGAGTGTGACCCACTGTTCCTTTGGACCTTTCACTAATTAATCAGCAAACATCTGCTTCCTGCAGGAATGCATTGCATTTAATAGAACCCACAGAAGCCGCCCCCTCAACCCCCAACACACACAGGCTGGCTCACAGGTTTGCGATGTTGTCAAGTCCTTTTAGAATCACCTTGAGTGAAATGATCTTTGTGAACAACATTTCCATTGTCAGCAGAGTAGGGTGACATCGACACTATTACAGGGATCAAGCACTCAAGCAAGCTGCAAATTACTTTCTCTCCTAAGCATCATCTTAATGCCAGATATTTCCCTGAGATTATTTTCATTTAGACAATTCTTTGGGGTTTCATCTAATCATAGCATCATCTGTGCACCTCACAAGAAAGTAAATGGGTTTTGCAACTCATCTCAAGGGCCTCAGGTACTTTCATAGTGTACACTACCTTTTTTAAAAAAAATATTTTATTGATTTTTTACAGAGAGGAAGGGAGAGGGATAGAGAGTTAGAAACATCGATGAGAGAGAAACATTAATCAGCTGCCTCCTGCACACCCGCTACTGGGGATGTGCCCGAAACCAAGGTACATGCCCTTGACTGGAATCGGACCTGGGACCCTTCAGTCTGCAGGTCGACACTCTATCCACTGAGCCAAACCGGTCAGGGCTGTACACTACCTTTTAAAAAGGTGCATATGTGGATTCTTCATGAAATAAATGACAAATTCAAACCTCACAAAATTCTGGATCTTGATCAGCTTCAGGCAACAATGAAAGTCCGAGATTCCATCCTCCTCCTGCCTTTTTCCTGTGGTCTTTCTTTCCCACCTCCCTCCCTCTGCTCCACCCTTCTCCCCATGGCATGCTCTAGGTCTCCAGGTCCCCTCCACTCACCACCCCTGCAACACAGTGCGTTCCTTGTTAACACCCACATCTAATGCCATTCCTGCCTCCTCCTGATAGGAGCATACAAGTCAGTGCCCACTTCCCATATTCCCAACAAGACAGTGGAAGTTCACTTTCTGCAGTTTGCGTTGTGAAAATAGACTTAAGTATAAAATCGCATTACAACTTTGAATATTCTTCTTCAGACTGTACACAGCCCTCTCTCCAAACCTTGCTTTCTGCCACCCATAACCTGGTTGGGTTGAAAAAAAAATCACAGTTTTAGAACTGTGCTTCTCTCTCTCTCCCCTAACCCATTAAAATGGACTGATCGAGTGTGTCATTACATCCTCCAGGATGTATTCTGTGGCAAACCAAAGTGACTTACAAATTGGAGCTGAAATTGTAAACTCAGAATAATTTCAATTTAACTAAGGCTTTTTTCAATGGATGGTTCATCCAAGGTATAACCAACCACTGAGGCTCTGAGAGCAAACAGCATGGTGTCATGCAGTCCGCACTGGCCTGCAGGAGAGCAGCAGTCTAGACTTACTCTGTCAGAACCACAAGGTGACCCTGGCAGGTGACAGCCTCAGTGATTGTCAGTTTCTTCATCTGTAGAATGAGGAGGCTGGGCCAAGGGTAGAATTCAGGAGACGTAGGATTTTTGGGTATGTGCTGTTAGACATAATGTAAATACACTGGCCCACCAGATGTGGGGATGAGGTTAGAGGACACTGGGCTGCTTGACGTCAGGGTCCTCAGAGCTCCAAGATGTTGGGAGGGTGGCTTCCTCAAATACCCCAATACCACCCATAAGCCCGTCCTCTGTTGGCCCAGGCTACTCTGCACTTGGACATTGGGCCCTACTGTGGCCTCACCTGACTTTCTGTATTAATGGAGTAAACAGTGTCGGTCTGATCCAACAGTTTGCAGGAGTAGGCGATGTTGACCGCTGTCTCCTGCTTATCTCCAGTCAAGACCCAGAGCTGGATCCCAGCTTCCCGCAGAGCTGCGATTGTGTCTGGAACTCCTTCCTGCAGCCGGTCTTCGATCCCAGTGGCTCCTGGAGTGATTAGAGACAACGGAGATCACATTCACACGGTGGAAAAGCAGCTGCCTGATTTCCGTGAAGGCCTATCGAGCCAGGCAGTAATTATTAAGTATCATCCACATTTAATCTAGGCTGTACTAAGCACCCAGGATTTAGCAGTGAAATACACAGAGCTGGCCCCTACCCTCCAAGCTCCAGGCCCTGTTGAATAAGGATTTATAACTGAGCTATATGAGAAGCCCAGGATGAAACCTATGCCAGGAGACCCGAACTTCATCTGGAAGGTCAGAGAAGGCCTTGCTGAGAAAGTGTCCTTTAAGCTCAGACCTGGAAGATAAAGCCAAGAGGTGGAGGAGAAAGTGAATTCCAGGCAGGGGGATCAGCATGTGTCAAGGCCCTGGGGTCAGAGTAAGAGAAGGCACAGAAAAGGAGGCAGAGTGGGGTGAGAGATCGAGGCCAGGAGATAGGCTTTGCTGAGCAGGGCATTGAAAGATTGGGATTTATTTGGTAGCCGAGAAAGCTATTAAAGGGACTTAAGTTGGAGAGTGGCAGGATTACTTTTGAGTTATAAGAACATCATTCTAGAGAACGGATTGGAGTTTGCAGCAAGCAGCATGAATAATTTGGGGCTAACAGTTAGGAGCCGAGCAGGAGTGCAGACAGCTGCCGGCATAGTGGCAGTGGGAGTGGAGAGAAACAAAGAGGCTGAAATCTTGGCTATGCAACCGCTCCCAGCAGAATTAATAGAGACCCAGGTTTTTGCTCATTTTCTTGGAGAGAATTAAACATGCAGCTTCCATACATTTTGAATCATCTCCAGCTTTGCATCAACCTAAATATTGAATAACAGTGATTAAGCAAAAATAAACCGGCATTTAAATTGAGATTCATTTCAGAGCACAGACCCATTTCACTCTGGGCAGGAGCAAGGCATTCATTTCTTTCAATGATTCCGAGTGACAATAGGTTGGCAAAGCAGCTACGTTGGATGCATAGTGAAGAGATCACCCTCCTCTGGGGCCGAGCGAGAATGCCAGGCAGCTTCGCAAGGGCAGGGCGGATTCTTGGTGGCAAGTTGAGCTCTCTGCCCGGCCCCAGCCCTCTCCTTCCTGAGCCGCCTTGAGGGAAGAAAAACAGCCTCGCTGTCAAGAAATGTGCCTGTTTTGTATTTGAGGCCCAAACAGCCAGGTAAACAACCCTGGGAAGAGTGATGGCCGGGCCTCAGCTTTCCCTCCCAGGGTTCGCTTGGAAGGTGGGCCTCCGAAGCTGATGGATGTTGTGGGGAGGCAGAGTGAAGGCGAGAGGAGGAAAAACACATTTTTTTTGGTGTATGTGAAAGAGAAAATGAAAGAGGAAGGCATGAAGGCCTTTCCCAGCAAAGGGGGCCGACGGGCCCTGACAAGTGTGTTCTCTGTTGTGGAACCAGCCGGTTAGCACTGCTCTCCAACAGAGACCAGTGCTCCCGAAACAAGGAACCTCAGGGGCGAGGAGGGTCAGCGCCCTGGTGGGATGACCCTCCGGTGACCTTGTGTGGTGGGTGGAACTGTCTGGCCTAGAGACCTCTGGTGCCTGTTGAAATGAGTTCTCGTGACCAGCTTTCAAGGGGGCCTTGGGAGGCAGCAAATAAAACACAGAAACGAAACACAGAAGCGAAAGGCTGGAGGAGGGGTGGAGCAGAATTCCGACCCGGCTGGCCACCCACCTGTCCAAATCTTGCTGCTGCTTTTCTATAGAAAGGCTTCCTGCAGCAGCGCTGGGCCTTCCTGTCCCCTTGCACCTGGCCTGGCCGAGCAGCCTGGGGTGTGGGTTTTATCCAGAGAAGAAGCGAGGCTCGGAGGCTGTGGGGATGTGTCCCTGGGCACACAGCAAGGTCCGGCAGAGCCACGCCTTGGCCCTTGTGCCCAGGTCAGCATCGCCTTCTGAGGTGGACGAAAGCTGCCCTGTGGCCAGTGTGTGCATGCTGGGCCCGCATGGCCTTTCCTAGATCTGACTCCCGAGCTGTGAGATGAATCCTGATAAATGAAGCCTCCCCTGCTCTCTCAGCAATGCTTTTCGTTCACCAGGAATCCAACGCTGGCTCTTAACTGTGGCTTCCATGCCGCTCCTCTACCCCCCAGCGTACCAATCTCACTTCTGTGCAGAAAGCACAGGTCTGTCCCTGCTTTCCCTCCCGTCCCCTCTCCAAACATTCAGCATGTGATGTGCAGGGCCCTTCCTAATCTGGGTCCTGCTGACCTCTCCACCCCCCCACTCCATGGTCTAGCCATAGCAGACCTGAGTTACCAGCCGGCCCCTTCCCGTTGCTGGAACACTCTCCCCCTTGGCCTGACCAACTCCTCTTCTCCACTCAGTCCAGCCTTCCTGCACCCCCCTTGGCCCCAGGCCAGGTTAGCACCTTTTACTCTGTGTTTCCAACCTCTCTGGTAAGTCTCCCAGCCCAGCCCTCATCCCACTGTTTAATTACTTGTTTAGTCAGTTTCCTCACTAGACTTAGACTCTGGGAGGCCAAGTCCCTGTGGCTCTTGTTCCCTGTTGTAGCCCCAATGCCTCGAATGCTACTTGATACATAGTAGGTGCTCAACAAACATTTGAACAAATAGAGGGAGAAGCAACCAGACTCCTAGGCTTCATCCAGCAGGGAGTGCAGGAACGCTCCCGGGCACCCTCAGGAGGCTGCATGTGGAATCTGGGTTGTATGTTGGCACAGTCTGTGCCAAATCTCTTGAAAGGCACCCCGGGGAAGGCTCCTAATTGAGACACATTTGTAGCAGTGTCAGAATCAGGGCCAAGAACTCCCTTTCCAGCTTGCAGCATTCCTATTTTTCATTTAATGAGGGCTTATTTTTAGCTACCCAGTAAGGTGAGTTGATTCTCCAGATGCTGGGCGGTCTCCATCAGAAGCTCATCTCGGTTGTCGAGGGATGCCTCGGCCTCATGCCGGAAACTGGCCCATCGCCGGAAGTCCTCTTCACTTAGGACCTACGGGATAGGAATAGGCTCGTTCACAACTCCAAGTGGATCCCTTCCCCTTCCCATGTGCCTGTTTGAGCTTCTCTACACAATTAGATGGGGCCTTCTCCTCAATGATTGCTTTCTTGAGTGCAGGAATCAATGGAGGATTGATCCTCATGTTCCATTATCACCAAACATCTGTTGAGCTCTTGCCCTGCTCTGGGCACTGAAGGTATAGCAATGATCAAGACAGACGAGATCCCTGCATGCCTGGGCTTATGTGCTACTGGAGGGTGAGAGACATTGTCCAAGTAAATAATTTAAAATAATAGGTCATTTCAAGGAATTCTATGCAGAAATTAAAGAGCGTGATCTGAAGATGTGTGTGTGTGTGTGTGTGTATGTGAGAGAGAGAGACTGGGTAGAGGGATAGCTGTGGGAAGAAAGGCTATTTCATTTGAATCTTCAGGTCTCTTAGACAAGGCGACATACAAGTTGAGAGCCAATGACGAGAAGGGTTCAGTCATGGGGAGGGGCAAGTGCAAAGGCTGTGAAAAAGCAATGAACTTGGTTTTGTCTATTCCTTGTAAACACCAGTTGGCCGAAGGATGGAGAGCCAGGAAGAGAAGAGCCAGCAATGAGGCTGGACAGGTAAGCAGCATCCAGATCTTGCACAGCCTGGTAGAATTCTCCACCAGCTATTGGAGGTGGTACCCAAAAGCTGGAAGAATACAGCTAGAGGACACATCTTCCTCCCTTGGAGTCCCATAGTACTTTAGACCTCTGTGATGGAATTGCATGAATACAGCAATGAATAGCCCTAGATTTTCTCTCTGTGCATGGTACATAGGGAAAACCAAGGGGACATGAGTAGGTCTTTTGCTCTTGCGAAATTCACAGTTTTATTAGAGGAGACAAAATAGGCACAAATAATTTCAACGGAAAATAGAAGATAGTATAATTACAGCTATAGAGTAGTAAGCACTAGTTGCTGTCCCATGTATACATGTTAATCTCCACGACAACTGTATGAGGTAAGGAGCGCTGACACCATTTCATAGATAAGAAAATCCAAAACTCTGAGAGATGAAGAAATTTGCCCAATGTCACACAACAGATAAGTGGCGAGATTGAGACTTGTACCCAGGTAGGTCTGGCTTTAAAGTGGGTGCTCATAAACTCTTACATTTTTATGGTTGCCTAAGGACCATAAAAGAGATGAGATTTGGGGATTTATGAAGAAATAAATCCAGCCATCTAGAAATATATGTCCATCATAGCTCCCTCCCTGATTTTAGGTGCTCTGGGACTCTTAGCTCTCTGTCTGCGTCACCTGCAGGGGCTGCCAAGTTAAAGACCTGCAGGAGGTGAGGTAGGTAATCTACATGACTATAACTGGGCCAAGGGAAACAATAGGGAATAGTGGGGACTGTGGCCAACCACAACACAGCAGAATACATTTCTCCTCAGGGATCAGCTGCTACATGGCTGTAGCCATTTGCTTCCATTCGAGAATGGAGACCCACTTTGACAGCTCCTCTAAATTTTTGGGAGAAACCAGAAATCTAGACTTTTAGGTGATCACATAAAATCTCCCAAATTCCCAATCTATGCAAATAATGCAGATTTTAAAAGAATATGCTGAAGGCAAAATTATAACATTAAACATTATTTTATGAGTTAGAGGTAACCAATTGCATATACAAATAACCACACTGATATGGAAACTTGCCATTCAGATTTCTGCCCCAGCAAAACTGTCAAAAGTCCTGGGTCTTTGTGGTGAGTCAAAATAGCTAATTTTGAAAATGTTAAAGCAACCCACATTAAGGGTCTTCTAAAAAGAAGTAGAAAAGATAAAATCGGGGTTGCGGCCCTGCACGTACTTAACGAGGAATCTGTTCTCACCTTCTTGGCAATGCACAGCGTTCGAAGACCATCTCTTGCATACAAGTCTAGATGCTTCTGTGTCCGGGCTCGGATTTTCCTCAGCTTCTTTTCCACATCAGTGTCAGTCACTGTGAAGGAGTCATTGTCCCGCATGAGGTCATATACAAATGCTCAGGGATCCCCATTCTTAACATCCTGGAATCTTTAGTGGAGAAATCCCCTCACAGCCCTCCACAGAACCAGAGGGACTCTCCTGGCTGTCAGGGTGCCCAGGAAGGTGATCTCTGGGAGTCCTTCCATTGTCTGCTCTCTACAGCTGATCATCAAAAGCTTGGCTGAGAAATGCACTACTTAGGAGGGTAGGTGGTCCAAGGTGTTCTTACCAAACACCTGTCTGCATCAGAATTATCTGGGAACGTAAACAAAAAAGAGTGATTCCCAGGTCCAGTTGAAGCTCTGCTGAATCAGGGACCAGACAGCTGGATCTTTATTATGACCCCAGGTGCTTTCTTTGTAGCCACTTTAGCCCTGGATGACCAACGGTTTGCTAAGTGATGGACATCCTATCCATCACCTTCTCTGTCACCTACTTCAGTCCTTATATCCAGTTAGGTTCCAAGACAGCTTTGGACTTGAATCTCATTGCTAAGTTCTTCACCACACTGCAAGAAATGGTCTTAGAAAAAAAATTGTTTGCATTTCCTACCAATATAGTTTTTTAGAATGAAAAAGATTTCATTGTGTTGCTCAAAGTCCCCTTTATGAAGTCCTACATAATACATTTCTTTTAGAAAAAAATTAATCTTTTTCTCTTGAATTCCAGTACTTTTATCTACCAGATAAAAGGAATTTTTCATCCTGGGTTTGTGGGTATGGGGCAGGATTGATGCTATCGCCACTTACTTTATCTAAGATGTCCCAGACATCTCTAATCAATTGCAGCACTTTATAAAGCTAAGTTTGGAAAAAGCTTCAATCACTTTTTTTTAAACCAGGGCTAGATTGAGATCCTCAGAGGCCCTAAGTAGTAAACAGATTTCGTGTACCTCATCCATCCCTTCATATAATGCAAAATTAAAAATACAATGTTTAACAGTAAGATAAGTATAAGAAAGCACAATGAGCTCTGATTTCCCCCGTGATACTATTCTACGGCTGTTTTTATATACTGCAAAAATTCTTTCAAAGATTAATTTCTCTTTTTTCAGAAGGTGTGACTGTTTTCTCTGTGCCTGAAGCACAGTCTTTATGCATTGTCTTATTGAGCACTATTTGAAGTATTTTATTTTCAAAGACATCAGTTCCTAAGATTAAAACCTTTTGCCTTCTATCTGGTTACCTTCGAATTGACCTTTTTTTGCTCAGGCTAACAGAAACCTCATGGTCAAATTGAACGTTCAAACACCATAAATATGTTACATCTAGGGTTAGTTCCCCCCTTCCTTTTCAAAGCTTTAGTCCTCAATTCTTAATAGTAACATTGCTCATGTGACTTTTATTGGAAGCATCTCTAATCCATTTTGCATTCAGGTGAGGAACAAATAAAAAACCATCTCCAGGGCAGCGTTGATGGCTGTTGCCCAGGGACAGAATACTGTGGCTCCCTTGACTCTGAAACATGGAATTCACTCCTCTGCCAGAGTGGGGATAAAGAAACCTAATCAGCTCCCTTCCCATTCTAAACGCTCATCCATCCTCATGAACCTCTTGGCTTTGATCCATAGCTGGTAATGCAGGAGGCACAGAGCTGCCTGGCAATTCTAAAGCTTGGCTGGAACCTGCTACTCTGGGAGAATCATAGCCCCATAACCGTCTTCTCCTTGTTAGCCATCAAGAAGCGTCTGTGCACTAATTCATGCTGCTCCAAAACTAGACACTGAGAGCTAGGGATTATGGAACATTTTCCTGGCTTGGTGCGAGTTTATGGAAATCCATTGGGGAGAGGCTGGGGGAAGGATGATAAAGAGGGCCACCTGAGGCTTCCCAGAGTGCATGGAGCCTGGCAGGGAAGTCTGGCCGCATGGAAGGCCCCAGGGTACCCGGGCCGAGGATGTGTCACTGGTTACCTCGCCTCCTCTCTGAGGTCACTTCCCTCTCTGGGTTCAGTTGGTCTCTCTCCAAAACTAAGAATGAGGACCACAGTATTTTCTAGGATATGTTAATGGATGTCCTGCTAAGATACAGTGTATGGATAATCCATGTTTAATGAGTTTGGAAAACTAGAAATGGGGATAAAGGAGTTAAAGAGACTTGCTCTTCCAAGACCTCCCCAAGTCTAGCTCCCAAGCTCTGTCATTCTCCAGGTCGAGGGCACGTGGAATGAAAGAAGCGTGTGTTAAGGAACCACTGTGAGGAGAGCAGCTTGTGGCCCGTGTTCCTGGGGATCTGCTGGGCTGAGTGGCGCTGTAACTTGAACTCATCATTCCCCTCCCAAGCTGCCTCCTAAACCACGGAGCCCTCTCTTCCTGGAGCCCTGGTGAGGGGGGACTCACCGCGGGCCGGGTCTTCCAGCAGGTCCATGATAACCGAGTCGGCGCCCTTGGTATAGAGGATGATCTCGCCCGTCAGCGGGTGCCTCACAATGACGGACATCCTCTTCCTGACAGAGTCAAAGCCCAGGGTGCAGAGGACATCGAAGGTGAGGCAGGTGCCCTGGGGCAAGCGCACGGTCACCTGCTCCGGCGTCCGGGACACCAGTGTGAAGCTGTAGGCATGGGCGGCGTGCACCAGGGCAGCCTCGTCGGGGCTCTCGGCCTCGTAGCAGAGCTCGGGGCTGGCCGGGCCGAGGGCCGGGTCCTCCAGCACCTCCTCCAAGGAAGTGCCCGACCCAGACGCCAGGGCCTCACCTTGGTCCCATGTGCTGCTCCTGTAGCCGCCGTCAGTATCAGTCGAGTAGCCTCCACTGCACACAGACGCGTCGTCTCTGTCTTCCGAGTCCGTGGTGGGCATGGTGGTCCCCAAACTGTCCCCCAGGTCGGTGTCGGAGGGCGCGGTGGAGGAGAATGATTGGCTGAGGCTCGAAAACTTCAACTTCTGGAAGAGCTGGTGGATCTTCTCCAGGGAGGTCCCCAGAGCCTTGGTCGAAGGTGGCATGGTGACCTTGGGATTGGAGGAGGGAAGGAGAACATTACTCTCAATATTGGGGAAAAATGCGGTCTGTGGCAGAATCTGCAGGTCATTTTGCAAGAAATGGATTACTTGGGCCCTCTGTGGTCGTGGGCAAGTCGTCTCCTCTAGGTGAGCCTCAATTTACCCACCTGTAAAATGAGAGCATCAGGCCAGATGTTCCCTCTAGCCCTGACATTCCTGGGATTGGTAATGACCATCCCATTCTAATCAGAGACAAAGGAAAGAAAAGGAGACAAAAGCCATACCCATAGTAAGAGTTCACATTCCCACACCCTTACCAGAGCCTTTATCTTTGCATGCGTCATCTCATTTCATCTTCCCTAACTTTACAGGATACTATTATTATCCCAACTTATGGATGAGGAAACTAAGTCACGAAGAGGTTAAATAAATTGGCCATCACCACCCAGTGTACAGGGAGTAGAGCTGGGGCTCAGGCCTGGTTCTGTCTGACTCCAGAGGTTGGGACCTCCAGCGGCCAGCCAGCAGAAGCCTCCCTGTTCACTTAAAGATTGAGAGGCGGATGCTGTCCTCCCCAGAATGGTGCTTCCTCCTCTTGAAAACAGAGTTCTCAGGTAACGCTACCTTCTCTCAAAGCTCCCTGAAGACTTCTGATAACCTGGTGACTTTTCGGCGGCTGAAGTGACTTCTCAGGGTGGTTTGGGATCAGGATATAAGAAGCGGGGGGGCTCTGAGTTGGTGCCTGCGTGAACCTTTTTCTTAATTTCATAGCCACAAATTATAACACCCAATTATTCTCATCAGGTACTCACAGGGGAGCCTGGGTGAGAGTCAGTGGATAATTAAAGACACAGCTAATTTCAGTACTAAAAAATAATTCAGAGTCTAATCTCCTATAAATGGCCATCCAGCTGCATTATCTCCCAATTGGCAGAACATCACACATGGTGGTATTTTTTCTAACCCCCATATAAAAGCAGAAATCAGTGTAATATACTGTTATTGAGTCATACAGATGGTTCTGTCATGTATTAACCATACATCTTTTGTTGAATTACTCAAGCTCTCTGAGCCTGTTTCTTCACTTTTTTTTTTAACTTTGGTGGAATCTCTTTTATTCTTTCTTTTGTAAAAATATATTTTTATTGATTTCAGAGAGGAAGGAAGAGGGAGAAAGAGATAGAAACATCAATGATGAGAGACTCATTGATTGGCTGCCTCCTACATGCCCCCTACTGGGGATCGAGCCCGCAACTCAGGCCTGTGCCCTTGACCGAATTGAATCTGGGACCCACTGAGCCAAACTGGCTAGCGCTGTTTCTTCACTTGTTAAATGCAAAGCCATACAGCGTAGGATTGTTGGGTAGTGAGGATAAAAAGATAACGTAGCCAAAGTGTTTGGCATGGAGCCTGGCATGTAGCAAGTGCTCAGTAAATATTAACTCTTTTTAAAAAAATATATATTTTATTGATTTTTTACAGAGAGGAAGAGAGAGGGATAGAGAGTTAGAAACATCGATGAGAGAGAAACATCGATCAGCTGCCTCCTGCACACCCTCTACTGGGGATGTGCCCGCAACCAAGGTACATGCCCTTGACCGGAATCGAACCTGGGACCCTTCAGTCTGCAGGCCGACGCTCTATTCACTGAGCCAACCAGTTAGGGCGATATTAACTCTTAATATCTACCCTGCAGACAGATAGACACAAAATTTGAAAGCTACATTGAGAGTTCATATATAACTTTTTCTATTTTATTTAAAAATGAGGAAACTGGGGCCCAGAAAGGGTAAGAGTTCAAGGTCTCAGAGGGATGAAATGGCGATACTGTGGCTAGGGCCCAAGTGTCTTGTCTTCCTGTTCAGGGTGTCACCCCTTGCCCTTACCCTTCCTCCCCTCCCCTGCCACTCCCTCCATCACCGATCCTTACCCTCTGCCTGGGCTCAGTGGTTGTGGAGACCATGACGGAGTTGCAGATGGTGAGGGCGAGGAAGAAGTCAGCGATGGAGGAGGTGGTGGAGAGGGAAGCCTTGGCAGGTCTGGAGTCTGGCAAGTTCTCCAGCCACAGGGCAGCATCTTGTACCTTGGTCAGTAGGTTTTTATCTGGAGTCACGTCTTTTTCCTGAGAGAGAAAGAACTTGGTGAGTCTTTCCTAAAGGGACTCGGAGGAAGCCTCCCCCCAACCCCCACACACACCAGGTTCTTTGCATGCCTGGGGAGAGGATAACAGTCTTCCCTGTACTCTTGAATCCAGACGACACCCCCTCTGCAAGCCCAGTCACTACAGATTCTTATCTGATTCCTCCCTCTCCCTCACCTCACATGTCCATCAGTTATAAGCTCTGGCAGTTCTTTCATTACATTGTCTCCCCACCATTTGTCCCTCAGTCCTGATGCTACCAACAGGCTCAGATCCTGTGGCCTCACTCCTGGATTTCTGCGTCACCTCTAAGCTGATGTTGCTGCCTCTCACCTCTTATCCTTCTAACCCTTCACATGTATCGCCCGTGCATCTTTCTAAACACCATTTCCCTCAGGTACTCTTGAGCTCAGTAGACCGTCAGGAGATCTTCATTGCTGACACAATCAACTTACTTTGTCATCTAAATTTTTTTCACAGTCTCTGTTCCCACCACTTCTCAACACAGACCCTCAGCTTAGCCGGCGGTGTGTTTGCTGTCTCCTGGATGAATACTCCCACTCTATGCCTGTGATCTTACCTTGTTTGATAAGTCCCCTCCTGTCTACCAAAATCCTACCTGGACTTCAGTAAAAGCATATGGATTGTTATGGTAAGCTTTTTCCAAATGCAACATATGTCCCAAGGGAGGGTGGGGTGGTGGACCTCAGTGGCCTAGCAAGAAGGGAGTTTTCCACCTCTTATGAATAGGATCACTGCAGCCATGCATCCCCAATAGGGACCCTGGGGGCCAAGGGAAGCACAGTTGAGATGGCCTTCATCTGTCCCTGCCTGTGTGGTCACATCACATTCAAAAGATTTTTTGTGCTTGGCTGATTAAATCAGTACCTAGCCATCCAGTGGGGGATGTGGCAGCGTGGGTATGTGGGCTGTCCACCCACGGGAACAGACTGGAGTGCTGCACCAGTCTCTTCCAAAGGAGGAAAGGAAGACCAAGACGAAGGACGAGGCAGAGGGCCAGGGTGTTCTTTCCGGAGGGGCGGGAGGGGCTGCGCCCACAGAAGGGAGTGGTGATATGTTCGGAGACTGGACGGTCCCCAATGCAAATTTTATGACCAGGAAGATATTCTTTGGTCTGATGGTTCTGGAAACCTTTTGCAAGTGGCACTTTTAAACAAAGACTCTCTGCTCAAATCTTGGCTGCTTGCAGACCAAGAAAAAAAAAGGCATTTCATTTTCTATCTGCCAGTCTATTAAACACTGGCTCAGCCCTCACCCTGTCATAAGTGTGCTACCCCACCCTCAGACCACAGCTTTTATAGCAGCCTATTAGGCAAAAACGACCCATGCTTCCTTGTTCTTTGTAGTAAAAGAAAGAAGCCAGCTTTTGTTGATACTCATTTTGTTTTTGGTTTAGAGCCAAGAGCCAAGGAGACCAAGAATGGGTTCCTTTAGAATGTGGCCTGGTGCTCCATCACGACTTGGCACCCGGGGGAATTCAGAGGCAAGTTCTGATGGTGTTTACAAAGGGAAGTACAGACCTGGCGGTGCCAGGAGATGATGGGACCAGCTGACTGCCAGATGGGCAGGTGGCAGAGAGGCAAGTTCAGGAACCTGCCAAGAAGTGGGGGGGGGGGGGACAGGAACCAGGAGATCCTCTGGGGCTGCCCCCAACATGGTCCATGGATTCATTCCAGGATCTGCCACTCCAGCCACAGATATTTTACAGGTAGTTAGAGCCCTTTAAGGAAACATAAACCACCCCCTTCAGCCAGTGACTTCCAAGCTGGAGAAGGAGCCTATTTGAGACAAAGGTAGACGATTTCCTAGCGGGGGGCTGGTATGCTTACACAGGTCCTCATCTTGGTTGCTCACTAGAACATCAGAAATAAAAATATGAGTGCTCGGGCCCTTCCATAGACCAAATAGGCTAGCATCTCAGGGGAGAGGGCTCAGCATTGCATTTTACAAAGATGTCCATGTCCCCAGAGATGGGATCATTTGTCCAAAACAGAGAGCTTTCTCTCAGAAAGATGACTTAAAACTTCGATTAGTTACCCATCCATCTAGAATGCATGATTTGAACAATTAGATCATCCAAAGAAGCTCAAGAGGCAGAACAATGATGGGAATGTGGAGGCTTCCAGCTGGGCAAGTTGACTGAAGCCACAGAGCTAATAATGGTAGAGCTGAGATGACCCCAAATGTGTCTGACTCGTAGCTGGAAGGGATCTTGCAGGTCAGCACCGACATTATGTTATTTGAGTTTTAGAACAGCTGGTGAGAGTTGTAAGTAAATTATTTTCAGGTAATGAAAGGGATAGAAAGGGGTCTGACGTGTTGCTATGGTTACCCAGCAAGCCAGTAGCACAGCTAAAATGAGAACCTACGTTTCCTGACCCTTAGCCCAGTGCCTTTCCTACCTGGGGATGCTATTGTCCCACTAACCCCAGATCTTCAAGCAAACAGACTGGAGAATGACACATGTGGCAGTTCGTAAAGAGAACGCGTCACCATCTGCATCTGCCTAGACAACAAGGATTTGCTGTAAATCTGTGTGTCAATTTCCTTATTGTTCTGGAATGAACTTAGAACTGCCTTTAGAAGTGCCAGTCAGGGCGGAAGGTGACATCCAGGATCTGGATATAGCTCAGAGGTTAATGTGTCCCTTTCACTGGCCAGCAAGCAGCGAAGGGCCCCGAATAGAAGTTAGCCCGGGTTGATTCAGAGCTGCAGTTTTTCTGGGTAACTGAGATTTGTCAGGTTGAACAGGGGGCAGTGAATCTGTGAGCCCCAACTGAGATCTACCAAGGAAAGGCTCCTTTCTCTCCCCCCGGGTCCTGGCGGAGACATTCTCAGGCACATGGGCCACCTGTGGTGTCTAGAACTGGAAAATGCCAAAGACACACACAGTGCATGCCTAATGAGAATTCACTAATTCATGGTTCAAATATTTAGGTAAAGAGCTGGGGGAAAGGCATTCCAGGCATTCCATTTAGAGGGGACAGAATTAAATAAGAGAAAGACTTGACAATATGGAGGTCCTGTTGTTATCTCATTTGGGGAAAAAAAACACACAGGAAGAAAACTACACCAAATCAAAAGGCTTCCTAAAGGCGTCTACAAATCATTTGTCTTGCGAGTTTATGAACATCAGATGTCTTAACACATTGTTATCATTTGATCCTTGCTAATGTTGCATGTCTGTGAATAACAAAAGAGTTAACTCAACTTTATTGATTTTAGAGAAAGAGAGGGGGAGAGAGAGAAACATTGATTTGTTGTTCCACTTATTTATGCATTCATTGGTTGCTTCTTGTATGTGCCCTGACCGGAGATCAAACCCATAACCTTGGTGTAGCAGGATGACGCTCTAACCAACTGAGCTACCTGGCCAGGGCAGAGTTAACTAGATGTTGTACTCAGAGTTACAGAAGTAACAACCCAGAACACACAGACTTGCAGCGTTTTTTTCCTTGTTGCAGTCAGAAAGCACAGTCCTGGGTTAGGAATACGAGGCAGCAATATGGAAAATGCTTCTGACATCTTGTCAGATCCAAAAAACCTAGAACCTATAATTCTATGTACTATGATTGCAAAAATGTTAAATAGATGGAGTTATGCATGTGTATTAATGGGGGCAATAAAAGCTTGGAAGGAAATTCACCTGAAGGATCATTTTGAAATCGTATTTTCTAATCATGGGATACTAGCACTTCAGGTTCCTCTTTAAGTTTGTGACTTGTTCAAGACAAGCTGGGGCTCCCTGTGGCCTTTCTGTGAGAACAGAAGATTCTAGATCATGTGTCTCTTAGAGAAAGAGCAAGGTGCAGAGGAAAGCAGACAGGCAGGAGCCAGAGGCCCGGTTCTGGCTTTCACTCCCAGGGAATGTTGGAGATCTTGTAGAAGAAACTCAATTTCTTCACCTGCTCCCTGGACAGTTAGTGATGGGTGTCCCTGTGGATCAAATGTGAAGGGACCACATGCAGAAAGCTGCAGGGGTGTAGGACCACAGGGGCCAGGCAGTTAACCTAAGGGAGTGAATGTGCTGGGTAATTTTGACATTGATGTTTTTGCTTCATAACAATTGAGGACTCTCTTTGATGATCACAAGAAAGATATTCTTCCATTTTTCTTGAAATGCATAAGCCCGTAGGCTTATCTTTTGTTTTTCTACTTTATAGAAACAGGGGGATGGCAAATATTTCTCTTTCCTCTTAACTGTATTATTGGAAAAACAAGCATAATGGACATGCCGCTGGCCCTCGGCTCAGTGATGCAAGTGAGGCAAGGACTGTGATGAACTAGAGATTACATGCCCAGACTAAATGGCGTCGACTCTTTAACTCAAGCCAATTTCTTCCACAGGGAAATGCTAGCTTAGTGTGAAGGATTTTCCCAATTCCATTTTTAAAAAACAGAAGCCAGAAATCTATGTTTATGTGAAATCTCCTAATTTCTAAATACTAAACATTGGAAATGAACAAGAAGTGTGCATGCCCAATAAAACGCGTATGAAGACTGCATACAAGACCAAGGGCTGGCATTTGGAGAGCCCTTCAGGGTTTTTATTGTCTTTTGTCCCTCACACCCCAGAGCCCCCTCCCATCTCTCCCCAGTAGAGGCCACTTGCAATTCAAAGAGGAAAAGGCAGGGACTTACGATGGAGCTGCTGAAGGCCACAGAAGACTGTGCGTTTTCCCAGCGCCCCACGGACCTCTGTCGGGAGTGGCCCTGGATGGGTACCCGGGCACTCTGGCATCTCCTCAGAGGCTGGATGCCTCCTGGGCTCCTCACTGCTGCTGAGCCCTGGGCCCATCTGGCTGGAAAGGACAGGCACTGGTATTGGGTCCACTCTTCACTGTCTGAGTCCAGCTCCTTTGGGACCTCCAGTCGCTTGGCTGTGGGAAAGGAGTCCTGTTATTGCCCCTGTCATACCTGGGCTGGACTATGGTGGGGAAATCCCAGACTCGGAGTGGGGGTTAAGCACACTGAAGAAGAACACTGTGCTGCTCTGGCAACCAGGGAGCTGGCTACCCTGACTGGAGAAAGGGGTGCAACCAAGTGACACAAGGTGCAGATCCTGGCTCTACTACCTCCTCGTTATGTGGCTCTGAGCTTTGGCTAAACCTGTGCCTCTATTTCCTCAGATAGGGGGTTAAAAAAAGTACTGAACTCTATGGGTTGTTTGGGAGACTTAGAATACTCTAAGTACTGATGATGGTAGCTGTTTTTATTATTAAAAAGGATCAGAAGGACCCAGCCGGTGTGGCTTAGTTGAGCATCGACCTATGAACCGGACAGTCATGGTTCAATTCCTGGTCAGGGCATAAGCCCGGGGTTGTGGGCTCCATCCCCAGTGTTTCTATCTCTCTCTTCCTCTCCCTTCCTCTCTGAAATCAATAAAAAATATATTTTTAAAAAGGATCAGAAGTTCCCACATAAGTGGTTACCATCATGGTAAAGGGAATTGGGTTCCCTATATCACTTAAAAGAATGAATGCTGCTCTTTTGAGAGTTTCTTCTCTTAGTTAAAAAGTGTGTGTGTGTGTGGGGATGGGTTGGGGAGGGGACGGAGCTGAGGGGATCAGGTCAGCTTTACAGGCCATCTTTAGTCCATACAGGATGACAGTCTGGGCACTTCATAGCCATATCTGCTAAGCTGAAGCTTTCAAGAGATCACAGAACATGGAAGGCATTTCCCGGGTGTATCAAATCTGACCATGCGCCTAGACCTGGCCTGTCCTCTCAGGTAAGGTGACCCTGGGCACATCATTGGGACATGTCCCCAGGCCACTCCTGACAGGTAAAAATGTTGTATGTAAATGGCACAGGACAAAGCAGACTGGAGGGCAACACACAGATCCCTGAGAGCCTTGTGAACAAATGAAGGTTCACAGGTGACAAGAACAGCACTGCTCTGTGACCAGGAAGCCCCAGGGACACAGGAAGCTACTTTCCACAAACCACACAGCCTCTGTGGGGAGCCAGCATGACGTCTTTAATCACCAGCCTCTAGGAGAGCAGGTGATTCTTTCAGGAGGAAAGATGGGGGCCCCCGGGGGGCCTCGTACCGTTTTCTTGGTGTGAGTACTCGCTGCCCACGATGGTGCAGCGCCGAAACACCATCTTGTTCTCGGTCAGCGTCCCCGTCTTGTCAGAGAAGATGTACTGGATCTGGCCCAGGTCCTCCGTGATGTTGAGGGCTCGACACTGGATGGACAGATCGGTCTCCTCATCGTACAGGTCGAGGTCGTTGTGCAGAAAGAAGACTTGCCCGAGCTTCACCAGCTCAATGGACACGTACAGAGAGATGGGGATCAACACCTGCAAGAGACCGAGTCCCACGGTGTCAGAAGCCAGGCCAGTTCCCTGTGTCAGGACCCTCTCTCAGGACCCTCTCTCATGGGAGGCAAAGGCATTGAATGGAAAGCTGATGTCCGCTCGCGTGATGGGCTTTCTCTGGGAAATCAAAGGTCAGTGCCTCATGCCTCCCTTGACATTCTTAGGGATATGCCTTCTTCAGGCAGGGGTGTCGGAATGAGGCAGGCACTCACCATTGGTTGTTCAATGCAGAGTGGGAAGTGGGTGAGGAGCAGTCGTTCCTCTGTCTGGAGTCCCTCGATTCCCCCTGGATCTCAGTGCCATGGAGGATGGCCTCCCACTTTTACAGGTGTTCAGACCCATTGTTGATTACTGGCCACTGATTCAATACCTAATATCTATTGAGCGCTTTGTGTGAGTCACATATTATTCTAGGTCCTGGACATGGCAGTGAGCAGAACAGAATCCCTGGCCTTGAAGACCTCAAATTCCAACAAACAAATAAATATACACTGGGCAGTGTGTTAAGTCTCATAAAGAAAAAGTAAAGAGGGTAGAGGGTGATGGTTGGGAGGGACTCTTATCAACCATGACCTTTGAGCAGACAGCTGAAGACGGGGTGTGTCCTGAGGATATCTGTGGGAGGAGGAGCATTCCGGGCAGCTGCTGGGCAGTGGGAGTGGGCAGGGTGTTGGGGGGTGAGAGTAAGTATGTGAGTGAACAGGACAGGGAGGGTGTCAGGATCCAGATCATTGAGGGCTTGTTGGTGGCAGTAAGGACTTTGGACTTCACTTTGAAAGGATATGAAATCACTGGCGGGTCTGTGCAGAGCAGGGGTATGACCTGATTCACAGGTAAAAAAGGATTACTCTGCTAAGCAAATGAATGAACTAATGATTCAAAAGAGTTCACCAGTAAGAGGACAATGAAACACCCTCAAGGAGTACAAGAAATTGAGTGTAGATGAAGCTGCGTCATCTTTTCATAGATTAGTATCTTATAGAGCCTGCACATTTTTTCCTCCTTCTCTCATGTAGGTTCTCTGTGTTTTTGTTTGTTTCTCCTTATAGGGTCAGTACCCTGCTCCCCGCCACCTTGTGTTTTTAAATCTCAAGTGATAAAATACTAAAACACTAATCTGTGGTTTCTTCCTCTCAGTATTTAGGGTTTGACAGTTCTCTGTGCTAGTTTACCTTATTTTATTCCCCAGTTATTAGGTTTCACCTGTTCAGTATCTGGCAAAGGGCCAGGCACACGTGGGTCACTGCTGTAATCTTATATAGAAAAGCCTAATAAATATTCTTCTCCACAATTATCTGGGGGGAGGGTCCCCTCACAAAGCAGGACTGGTCCTGACACGACCCCGAATGGGAATACTTTCGAAGGCCCACAAGAAAGCAACGAACATTTCCCCATCTCAGTCCAGTAAGTTCCTTCTTGGGACCAGCACTGAATTTTCCTTCACAGAGTTGTATGGTATTGGCCACAGGCCTTCCTAGCCATTAGTGAGAGAGGAGCTCCTACCTGGAGCAGGATGATCATTGTGAGGAACATGTAGAAGCCCCCAAGGGCAAGGGGAGGGAAGCTGCCCTTGGCATCTGGCACATCGAAGGGAGGGTGTTCCCTAAACGTCCCGTTCCAGAGGCTGTGACCTGAGAGGAGGCAAAGCCAGGATGAGACAGAAGCTCCACTGAATTCCAAGGTTGGTCAATTACATCAGCCCTTGACCTATTCCTGGACATGAGTATGCTTTGGAGGAGTCCACCCTTATCCTATATAGTAAAAAGATAATATGCAAATTGACCCTAATGGTGGAACGACCAGAACGACTGCTTGACCAGTCACTATGAGGTGCACTGACCACCTCTCGGTCCCTTCCCCTGGCCATCAGGCTCTGATCGCCGATGGAGAATGGGGAACTAGGGGTTGGTAACAGCAGGGGATGGGGCTGGCAAGCGGGCAGAATGGCTAACCTCTCGGTTCCTCCCCCCAGCCAGCAGGCTCCGATCACCTGATGGCGAACGGGGAACCGGGGGTGGGTGGGGGTGGAGGATGGGGCTGGCTGTGGGCAGTTGGGGAAGATGGCCCTGACCGCAGGCCAGGCCTAGGGACTGTACCCGCACATGAATTTTGTGTGCTGAGCCTCTAGTTCTATATAATATAGCTGTGTGTGTGTGTGTGTGTGTGTGTGTGCACGCTCATTTAGCTCTGAAGTAGTTCTTCATACAGCCTATGTGTCAGTCTCTTGGTAGGCATTAAGTCTGACCTGCCAGAGGAGAGTATCATGGGGATTGCTTACATTTTGATGAAATTCTGTGATATAGGGGTTGGAAATAGAGAAAGGGACACCCATTCTTTCCAGTTGTATGACTGGAAATGCATGGCTTGGGAGTCCTGACAACCTTTACCTACCCTCTATACTTCCCCCATGCATTCTGGGCTAAGAAAAAAGAGCCATCACCTTCACACAGTCCAAGTAAATGTGTGATAAAGAACCCGGAAGGGAGTTCACTGAGAGCTTTCACCTCCTGCAGGGGCCCATCACTGTGCGTGAGTCATTATTCTCAGAAAGAACAGGATTCTGCCCCTCCCATAACTCCCAATTTATGTATCATTTGGGCAATCTGCCAAGATGATTCTGGCTTGCCTGCACCTTATCTCCCTGTGTGACCTTTTAACCATTAACTTCCTTTCTCTGGGGACACAGTGAGATGATCTCAAATCATCTTTCCAGTCCTGACATTCCTTAAACAAACCTGTCCTAAAGCAAAAGCAGCCAGCAGTTCCTGCAACTTAAACATTAGCCTGCTCTATTTAGTCAAACATTTAATGAACTCACCCCCAGTGCCTTGGCAGGACCAGACCAAATGATTTCTTAGGCCCTATATGGCCTAAGGGACAGTTCTCCACCCCTGTTAAACTAGTAAGTTCACGTTAATTTTCTGTGCACAGCCCTCCCTGAGGGGACAGACTGTCAGGGATCCTGTCCACATGCTGGCTCCTTCCTGCTGGACCAGGAGCTGGGATGGGCTCGCCTTGCTATCCTTCATGCTAAGAGAGTGTCTGACTCCTGACAGTATTTCTTGAACAAATAAATGATAGATGATATTCCTAATATTTTGCATAATTAATACTTTCAAGAGATTTCACATTGGCATCCTGTGATCATATAGGGGAGGCTTTATTTTTTATGAACTCTATTTTACAGATGAGGAAACCGAGGCTCAGAGAGCTGAAGTACTTGTTCAAAGAAAAAGAAGATTACTGTGGCACTGTGCATTGTTCTTTCCAGAACATTCCGTACCTACAGCTCCGATGAGGCACATGAGGAAGAGGAGCCCGATGCAGAAGAAGATGTCCGTGTTCATGCGGCGCTCGATCTTGCTGCGTTTGTACCGCGGGCCGCTGTTGTTCAGCATGGCTTTCGTCTCGTGGCCTGCAAGCGAAAATGAGGTTATCAGTCTCTTGCCCCCCATTTGCCTCTGGTCTGGACCATAGCCTTGGCTCTGCTCACAGGAGCCCACAGTAACAGAGGGGCCTCCTGCCCTCACCTGCCTCTGGGCTGCCTCAGGGAGGCTGCTGAGAACTGCTGGAGAGGCCTCTCACAATTGGTCAGCAGGTACTTATTGAGCATCCCCGACATGCCAGCCACTGGTGGGCATGGACAGAGCTACCATGCTCAGGTTGTGCCCTGCACAGACCTAGAGGTATCCCTCATTTTGTAGTTGTCATAGATTTGTAAGTTTATTATGACACATTTCTGGCAAATGACAGTAAACTGTTTTGAGGGCTTTTTCTAATTTGCACAAAGGCACTGTTATGGGCGAGTGGTGGTATAATACACTGCTAAGACAGATGACTCACATGCTGGTGAAAATATACAAGGAAACAAATACATGAGATAACTGCAGTCAGTAATATATCCCATGAAATAAACAATAAACAAAGGGCTAATAATAAGAGATGGTTTTGGAAAACATAGTCAGGGAAGGCTTCTCAGAAGAGGTGACATTTAAGGAAGACTCGAAGGGAGAGAAGAGTTGGGAGAAGAAGGTTTTAGGCTGGGGGAATAGTAGGTGCCAAGGCCCTGGGGCAGGACACTGCTTGGGGCCAGTAATTTTCATATTTGTCTCTTGGTGACAAATATGTTGGTGTTGCTTGGGTAAGAGTGTTCAGGGCCAAAGGCTTCTACCCCAACATTAAATCTGTACAGCTCCACTTCTGTCTCGGAGTTCTGAATGCATAATGTGTTGTTCAAAGAAAGGACAACAAAATTTGAAAACTACTAATCTCACCCCCCCTTTTTCTAGTTGGAGAAAAGTAGAAGGGACCTGCCTAAAAAGAAAGAATAAATGACCACCAGAGCCACACTGAGAACCCTGGATTCTAATTCCCAGCCTATTTCTCCTTCCAAGCAGCCCCTGGTGGTACCCAAGCCACACAGCCAGCTGCTGAGTCAAGCTGAGACTCTGTCTTTGGGCAGAACCTGTCCTCTAGGGCTGCTAACTTTTAACTACCATGCTGTACTCCTTAGCAGTCAAATTAAAAAACACCAATCACATGTTTTCTGTGCAAAATTAAAGAAAACGAATACATCAGCTCCAGTGGTGAATGGGTTTAATGCTGTTTAGCTAGTTGCCCTGTGGACTTAAAGTGGCAACAAAACAGCAGGACTAGCAAACTCTAGGCTTATTAAATTAGACTCGAGTCACTGCAGTTGTGAGGGCGTTTGCATGGCACAGTGAGCACAGCCTGACTGTGCTGACGACACTGCCTTCCTGACTTCCTTAGGGTCACCCCATACAAGGGGTCCCAGGACCACTCTCTTCAAACACCAGCTCCTCACCATTGAGATATTTCTGTTCTTTTGGCAAGAGCTGGACTCAAGTGGGGAGGCTGCATGGTGTAGCAGTTAGAACGTGGGCTCTAGAGTCAGAGCTAGACTCTGTAGATGGTTGATCTTGGGTTACATACAATTAATACCAGGAGACAAGTGACCTTGAGTGAATGATTCCCTTTGCACCTCAATTCCTTGTCTGCAAAATGGGAGATAATGGTTGTGTATGTATTTGGGGCGGGGGAGTGGATTAATATACACAAAGTACCTCAATGTGTTCCTTGTACACAGTAGGGGTACACACCTCCACAATCGATCTCTTCCTCTACAAAGCTCAGTTTGGCTTTTTGGGGCCTTTGATACTGAGGATACTCCTGTTTTGTCCATCTGTATTGTCCCGGGACAGACTCTAGACCAGTCGTTCTCAACCAGGGGGATTTTACTCCCCAGATGACATTTGGTGATAGCTTGAGAAATTGTGGTTGCACATCTTGAGAAGGTGATGCTAATGGTTTCTAGTGGGTAGAGGCCAGGGATGCTGCTCAACATCTTATAAGGCAGCCCCCACCACCAACAGCCCGGACCTGTAAGTCAATCGTGCCAAGATTGAGCACCCATGCTCTAGATAATAACACTGAAAACAATTAGTACTCTTTTTGCTCACACTTTTTGAGAACCTAATATGTGTCGGGCATTGTGCTAACCTGTTTCACAGGTCATTTCTTTTGAACCTCATGCCCCTACAAGAAAGGAACTCTTAGTGCACCCGTGTTGAAAGCTTAGCCAGCTAGCACTGGAATGTGCAGCTGGTGAGTGGATTTGAACCCAGGCAGCCTGACCCCCTAGAGCCACAGGGAGCTCTCTCTAAACCTGTCCCCTCATACAGCATTCCCATCATCCACATAGAGTTTTTTCTTTGTTTCTGGTCACTCAGAAAAGCAAACTCTAAGTCCATGAGGGTTTTCTTGCTGGGGCAGGGATTGCTACACAGCCCACCTTTAGTGGGTCTACCAGATGGCACTGAACTCATTACCAAAGACCCTTAAAAACAATCACTTGAACTGACAAATAAACCTCCCCTCCCCCAAATTAGGGAAAGCTAGCTAGATTGTGTCATTATTTGTTTAAAAACCTGTTTTTGTGGTTTTTTTTGATAGTCCCAAAAAGTGAATCTTAGGGTAGATTGATGTTTGGAATGCTCTTCTATGTTCATCAAAAGTGGGTTTCTACTCAGACCAAAACAAATCAAACAAAACAAGCAAACTAAATACTACAAGGAATCCTACTGAATACAAGACCCAGAGACATGTATTCTGGAGTCCTCCAGTGCAAGTAGACACCTCGGGGAGACTGTGTTTTCCCTACAGAGGAAGAAGTCTGCAGTTGTCAACGTTACAACCAATATTTATCGAGAACCCATGGAGCACCAGTTTCTAGGTACCAGGGATACAGTAGTCGTAAGACTTTAGATTTCATTGTAAGATGTGTTGCTATCTTTTTAATTGGGAAGCAAAATGGCCGTGGCAAGGTCACATACACCATCATAACCGCAGCCATAACATGAATAAAGATAAATAATAATAACTGCAAAACACAATGAAAACCCATCACATTTTTACGTGCTAGATGCAGTGCTTTTCATGTGTTGGGTCATTTGACCCTCACAAGCACAAAGGCAGATACAAATGTTTTCCCAGTGGATAGATGAGGAAGCCGAGGCACAAAAGGTGAAGTCATTAAGTTTGGTGAGGTCATTCCTCAGGCTCAATAAGATATACATCATCTTGCCTATATAGTTAGTGTCACAAAACCATTGGAGGTAAAGGAGCAGGAATCTCCCTCCCTGTCTTGTTCAGTTGAGTGACAGTAACTTGAAATCTATTATGTCTCCTGTGGACTGAGTGAGCAGCTGTGATTCCAGCCTCAGTTTGCTTAGCTGAGAAATGGGAAGTTACGTGACTCTACCCCTTAGAACTGATGTGAGTTTCCCCTGGTGGAGATGGATTTGGAGGAGGGGATAGAGGAGGGAACGTAGAGGGGGACCAAAGAAACTGTCCAGGGACAATGACCTGCATAGATGACAATGCCAACAGCCACCTCGGTGTTTCTGATGGTGCAGCCTCGGAGCAAAAGACTCTCACTGCCAAAGCCGGTCCTGGTCTGGTCAGGATGCTCCCTGGGGATGAGGAAAGACAGGGAGTAGTTTGATGGCTTCTCCATGCCGTCACTGGGCACAATGGTATCTCCATGGCATCCCAGAACTAGAAGCAGTAAGTGAACACGATCCCTATCCTCCTTCTTTTTCAGAAGAGGGATATTAACTCAATCTAGTCTCCATGTTCAAGTGCAACTCCTGATTGTCCTGGGAAGCTGGGCCCTGAGAGGGAATGACCCACCTGAAGGAAATCCTCACCCCCCACCTGAAAGGGATCTGGCTTCTGGACCTGCAGGGACGCATGTGTTCCCTCCAGGCTGTGGTCTTGTGCTTGCTGTCACCTGGCTGCGGGGACGGAACTGCACAAGCTGACCGTCTGAGTCCACAGCCGACACCAGGCAGTCCTGCCTCTTGGATGTGAGCGGTCAGGAAGGGCAGCTG